TTTTTTTAGAAACAGAGGAGAAGCAGAAGAGAGACAGGAAAATATGCTATGCTAAAGTGTGCACTTTTCTAATTGATTAACAGAAAAAACTTTGTTTAACTATTCGTTGTGATACATAATTCTTTGAGATTCTCTAGGAAAAATGCAAATGCCTTTGTAATAGACAACTGTCTTATATTTTATCATTTGTTATTTTGTTTGAATTTCTTGTATTGTTTCATGAAAACTAAATCGATTGTAAAAACAACTTAATTATTTTGTTTAAGTATACAAGAAATAATCAGAAGGAAAAACGGAATAAAGACAAAGCATTATTAATTCATAACTTCTAACACAATAGTCATGTACTTTTTTTCTTTCATTAGATTAAAAACGTTACATATCGAGAGAATCGTTTTCTAACTAACAGTTTTATAATAGTGATGTCTCGAAGAGGAATGTATCTTATGCTTTTGTTTCTTCTTATTGAACAATTCGTTGCACAAGATATGCGATCAGCAAAGATGTTTGTATTTCACAGTNAAAAGATTAAGATAAATGATGAGGGTGGGTGAATTCGAAGGATATAAGGCATGAAATGACATGAGAGTGAGAAAGAGGTCGATGAATGAATATCTGGAGTGGAAAATTAATATCAGAGAAAGAGGAAATTTTCATGATTTTTTAGGCAGAAACTAGCTTCGGTAACTCTTTTGCATAAAGAGATATAGCCGAAACTGCCATTTTATGCGATGCACGGTGGGGAAAATAAGGACTGGAAGCGTGGAAATTTTAATTGTATTGATTTTCTATCTGTTATAACTCTTCAACACGTAAGATATTCGACATAGATATTTCTTATTTGCAGCGGGTCTCCCTCTAGTATCTAAATAAAGAAGACTTTCAATTGTCATTAAAAGAAATCGTATAGTAGATGCGGATAAAAATATGAAAATTTCTTCCATCAAATAAATTGTTGTATTTTGAGGGTGTGGGTATGAGCGATTTCGAAAAAAACGTAATGTTCTTTGCTCTCACTGAAACTCAATGATTCGAAAGATCCTCGGTGATTTCACGAAAAAGACTAATTTTTAGTTCAAACTTATAGAACTTTTTTCTTTCATTTAATTAATTGTCTTTTTTTTCACAAAAAGTGTCCACTACGACTTCAACGTCAACTTCATCGTCATCCACATCAAGCACAAGCTCCACCTCCACTTCAACATCAACCTCAACGTCAAGTACGACTTCAGCAACTACTGGTATGTAGTCGTTGAGAGGGATCTTTTCTTGTGCACTCTTCTTGCCAACTGGGATAAACATACGTCTCAATAATAAACAGCATTGAGCGGTGTTCTCGAAGGTATTTCATGCATCAGTAGTGGCCCGTTGGTCATGAAGGAGATGACGAGCATGGTCTTTCGCTCGAACTGCTGACGTCTCACTTCAGTTACAGGGCTTGCTCCTATTCGTACGTGTTAAACTTAAAAATAGAATTCAACTATCAGTTTAATTATTCGAGCACTTAATGAGGGTGAGTGGATGGCTGTCGGTAGAGATCTCTCTTGATGAGTGTGGGGTGCATGATGCGCGTATCTTCTGATTGAAAATGTGTTCGGTTTGTTGCATAATCCAACACTGAGAAACTGATTAGCGAAGGCGGCCAAAGGCCGTCTGCGCGCTCACAGATAACAATCCACATGTTCTCTATACCGATGACAGTTCTGTGCATGTCACAGGCAACCTAAGCAACTCAACAATAGTATTACAGAATTTCAAACGATTAAGATAAATCTTGAGGTGGGTGAGGGTGAATTCAAAGGGTATAAGGTATGAAATCACGTGAGAATGCGAATGAGGTGGATAAATGAACGACGAGTGATGTCATAATACCAATATCCCGAGTATCCATCCCAAAACGGAGATGTCTATATCTCCACACGAGGAATTTGAGTAAATCTGGTCGTGGATTGTGGTATTCAATTAGAAATAGATCGAAAACGGTGTGCAATAGGTGGCACAATATTTCACATAGAGGCTTTCGATAGCTTACTTATGCTAGCGTAGAAACGCTTTGTAGAATCCCAACGTAGAATGTTAGGAATCCGTAGTAGACTATTCGGGGTCTCCAGCACTCTCACATCGTACTGCACTTATAGGCCTAGCTTTTTAGCTCCTCTGCGGTCTGTAGGATTCTGTTTGAGTGTCGGGTAACAAGATCAGTCAATCAAGTCTATTTCGTTACCCTACTTTATCGAAACGCTCAGCTCTGGATACCCAGTGTAGTGATATTATGACAGTTGTGTGAACGACTGGAATGGAGAATGAATATCGGAGAAAAAGGAAATGTGAATAAATTCTGATGCAGAAATTAGCTTCCGCAACTCTTTTCCATAAAGAGATATAACTTAAACTGCTGTTTTGTTCGATGAACGGCGAGAAAGATAAGGACCGCAAGCGTGGAAATTTGAAGTATATTGATTATTCTATCTGTTTCAGTTTTTCAACACCTGATACGTTCGACATAGATACTCCTTATTACCGACTGGGCACCCCCACTAGTTCAAATTTAATAGTTAAACACTCGAACAGATAGTTGGATACTTGAATTCAAGTTTCGAATTTGACACTACTGGAAAATTAAAGAAAAACAAATCATTTTCAATTGAAAATTTCTTCGAACATTTCTCAAATTGTTTTCTTTAGAAAAATTTACTAAAATTCTTTTTTTCTCAAAAAACTTTTCTGCTTTTCTTTTGAAAATTTTGCAGGAGGAAAAAATAGAGTTTTGAATTTGTTTTTGTTTTGTTTAGCATGGACAACGACTGGAAGTATGAGTGTTGCACGATATAGTTATGCAGCATCGGTTTTATCAAATGGAAAAGTCCTAGTCGCCGGTGGATACACTGGTAGTGTTATTCTGAATAGTGCTGAATTGTATGATTCATCAACAGGTAATTGGACAAGAACTGGGATTATGAATGTTGTGCGGAAATTGCCTAAAGCATCGATTTTATCAAATGGAAAAGTCTTAGTCACTGGTGGATACACTGGTAGTGTTCATCTGAATAGTGCTGAATTGTATGATTCATCAACAGGTAATTGGACAAGAACTGGAAATATGAGTGTTGCACGATATGCTCATACGCAATTGGTTTTATCCGATGGAAAAGTCTTAGTCACTGGTGGATTAAGTGATAGTGGTTATCTGAATAGTGCTGAATTGTATGATTCATCAACAGGTAGTTGGACAACAACTGGGAGTATGAGTGTTGTACGATATGGTCACAAGGCATCGGTTTTATTAAATGGAAAAGTCTTAGTTACTGGTGGATACACTGGTAGTGTTTATCTGAATAGTGCTGAATTGTATGATCCATCAACACGTAATTGGACAGCAACTGGAAGTATGAGTGTTGCACGATATAGTTATGCAGCATCGGTTTTATCAAATGGAAAAGTCTTAGTCACTGGTGGAAACGTTGGTAGTGTTTCTCTGAATAGTGCTGAATTGTACGATCCATCAACAGGTAATTGGACAGCAATTGGAAATATGAGTGTTGCACGCGACACACATTCAGCATCAATTTTATCAAATGGAAAAGTCCTAGTCGCTGGTGGAAACACTGGTAGCGTTTCTCTGAATAGTGCTGAATTGTACGATCCATCAACAGGTAATTGGACAAGAACTGGAAATATGAGTGTTGCACGAGATTCACACACAGCATGTATATTATCGAATGGAAAAGTCTTAGTCGTTGGTGGAAATAATGATGGTGTTACTCTGAGTAGTGCTGAGTTCTATTGACGAAGGACGATGTTGAAGTTCAACAGTTGAACTTGAATTTTTTTTGCTTTTGAAAACAAGTGGCAAATTGAAAAGATAAGATTTTTATGGAAATTTTACGAACAAACAAGAAATTTGTTGAACTGAAAAACGAGATAACTGAAATAAAATTGAAGAAAAATGAGATTGTGAAGACTTTTGGGGAAAATTTTTGCGAAAAGAAGAGAAAATAAAAGGATTTTTGATAAAAAACGAAGAAAATGTTTGAAAATATTTGTTTTTGGTCTTCTTTTGAATTTTCAACGAAATGAGAACGGAGAAATTTCAGAGAATAAATCGAATTGTAATGAAAATCAACTTGAAAAGTTGATTTTTCGATAAAACTATGTGTTAAATTCGATAATCTGTTGAAATTGATTAGATTTGGCAAGAAAATGAAGAATTTTGTTGAGAGATTTTCACTTTTCTATGTGAGAAGACAAAAAAAGATTTGACTTTTCTCTTTTTTGATGAAAAGAATTTTTCTTTGGCAAAGAAAGAAAATCTTGTTGTCTTTTGTCACATTTGTATTCATGTTTGAAAATTTCAACTTCTTCTTCTCCAATTGCTTCTCAATGTCAATTGGAGAGAAAAAAAGAAGAGCTGATCTTCATATTTTATAAAACATTTCAATTCTTAATGGAAAACAATTATCGGTGCGAAGCTAGCACGAACTAACGATGTGTTAGCTAAAAACTTTTTCACTAAGTATGTCCCACCCATTAAAACTAGTAACGCTCGTCGAGGCAGACTCACTTAACCCTCGACTGAATGAGTAAATTTAAATGTTTTCTCTTGCTGAAAATATTCATATTAATGTAAACCTGATTATTATGTACTAGTCATACTCCTTTTTTACCTTATAATCCTGTAAGTCATTTTGTAAGAATTTTAAAAAAGTATTATAATTCAAATGACAGCTGAAAAGATTTGATCCAGAGCTTCGCTAATCAACTGCATAACATAAATTTATTTTATATTCTATGAAAAGAAAGAGAAATGAACAGAATGAATCAATATCTGCGTAAATATACACAACACAATTAGAAAAGCAAAATAATCTCGATTTTAAAAAGTTTTAAAATGTAGAAATTCCATAATTCAATCAAAGATAATGAAAGATGTATGGAAAATTCAAATTATATATTATACAAACTGATAAACGAAGTAACAGTTATCTTATTATACATATGATTCATTGAAACCATTTCGAAAAACGTGATCGTATATTCAAAAACAGTGGATCCAGTTTTTCCATTTCAGTAACTTGAGATGTAGATGGTTTCATCAGCAAAACTCTATAATCAAATGGTCGTAGAATAGCTAAATCGGCCAAACGTTTTACACGAGATAGTGGTACGTAGACTGCTGCAATATCGTCAGTTTCATTTGGTAGTTTTAAATCAATAACCACTTTGCACAATGTTTGACCTCGACTTTTATGTGTTGTAATACAATAAGCAGGTACAAGTGATAGTGCAGACCGTTTGATCGACAGAACTGCTTTTTGATTTGATTTTGGTTTCTTTTGTTTCGGAAGAATATTAGGAATATCGACACAAAATATTTGTTCCACTAATGGGATGGGAATAAGTTTTTGTTCAAGATCTTGAAGTTTGCATTCAATCTTCGATTTAACAATCTCAATTAACCCTAGTACTCCGAGCCTGGGTCATTTTTGACCCGTATGTAAAAATGTGAAAATACACAAGAAATATTTTGTTATATTCTAGTTTTCTAAAGCAACTAGTATTCAGGAGGCAAGGGTAAATGTCTAAGGATGTCGAGAGGAGAGGGGGAGAGACACTCTGCGTGCCCCCCCCCCGCCCAAACAAAGAAAAAATCTATAAATCATAAATTTTTTCAAAAAATCACAAAAATTTCTCAAAATTTTCCCAAAAAATTTTCGATATTCCTGGGAGTGTGACCCCACCTGCTTTTAAAAAATTTGTTTGGTTTCTGTTTATCCAATTAAGATGGTAGATGATTCATTCATTTATGGATTGAAGATGAGACTTGTCTCTCTTTTTAAAGTCATCTATTGATGATTTTTTTTATGTTCACCTTCATATGCCTATTTATTCTTTTAGCTGATACGAATTTATCTAGTGCGTCTTTATTTACTTTTCATTTATAGATAAAAAAGATTTTTTCTTATATACTCTGAATAAATTGTTCAGAATATTATAAAAACAATTATGAGCAGTTGGATTGACGATGAAAGTGATGATGAAGACTTTTACGATCAATATATTGGTTCGGAAACAGAAAATGCTGAAAGTCAAACATCAGAAGAAGATGATGAAATTGATTTAGAAAATCTTAAATTGGACGACGATTCTACAGAAAGGAGTTTATATAGTTCTAAATCTGGAATTACCTGGTCGTCAATTCCGTCTTCTTCGACGAAAATAAGCTCTTCAAATGATACAAACGAGAAAACTGGACCTACCGGATTCACTGAAAATGTATCATCTATTGAAGACTCATTTATGTGTTTTATGTCGGAAAAAATCATACGGAAAATTTTGATTTATTCAAATATGGAACATATTCGAAATACTACTTCTAATGAAAAGACAGAAGAAATAACAATGATGGAAATAAAAGCTTTTATTGGACTTTTATTACTTGGTGGTTTATTAGGAAAATCGAAGAAAAGCATTAGATCCATATGGAGAAGAAATCCGTTAGAGTCTCCGATATTCAAAGCCACTATGTCAAGAGAACGTTTTGAAAAAATTATCTCCTGCTTAAGATTTGATGATAAAACAACAAGAGAAGGAAGGGGGAAAAGTGATAAATTTGCAGCAATTCGTGAAATTTGATCGGACTTTTAAGACAATTTAAAAATATGTTTCATACCAGGTACTGACGTAACAATTGATGAACTGCTATTAGGTTTCAGAGTTAAATGCCCATTTCGTCAATTTATACCAAAGAAACATGATAAATATGGGTTAAAATTCTGGTTATGTGTTGATGTCGATTCATATTATGTATTAAATGCATTTCCTTACATTGGACGACAACCACATCAAGAAAGACAAACACAAATAGGGGCCAGTGTCGTTTTAGAATTGCTCCTACCACTATACGATTCAAATAGGAATGTTTCTATTGATAATTTTTTCACTAGTGTTCCATTAGTCAAAGAACTTCAAATGAAGAACTTGACTCTTATAGGAACATTACGAAAAAATAAACCAGAAATACCTATAGAATTCCAGTCAAACAGAAAACGTGAAATTGGTCCTTCACTCTTTGGTTTTCATGGCGGTTTAACTTTAGCATCATTTGTACACAAACAAAATAAAGCTGCATTACTACTTTGTTCAAAACATCATGATAATCAGGTGAATATGAAAAATGGAAAACCAATTATTGTTTTGGATTATAATAAAACAAAGGGAACTGTTGATACTGTTGATCAAATGTGTCATAAGTATACGGTAAAAATATTTTTTTCTTTTACATTTCTACAGTACATTTTCTATAGGCTAAACGAGGTACAAGGCGATGGCCACTTTGCGTCTTTTATGGAATGATAGATATTGCCGCTATAAATGCTCTGATCGTATGGAAGGCGAAAAACCCTCAATGGAATCAAAATAAAAAATTTCAACGTCGATTATTCCTGGAAGAACTAGGACTAAGTTTAGTATCAAATCTTTTGGATTTTCGTTCAAAAACGTCGAAGTTTCTGAATAAAGATGTTGAAAATGCGTTAGCTATTGTTGGTTATCCTATGGTGAAGAATCTACAAGAACCAGAACCAAATGAAAATTCTATTCAGCCAAAAAAACGAAAAAGATGTTAGATTTGTAAAACTTCGAGAGACAAAAAAACTTCAATTCAATGTTGTCGTTGTTCCGAATTTGTTTGTAATGAACATTCTGTAAAACTCATTTAGTGTACGAACTGTTCAAAAATAAAAAGAAGATCGTTTTAAGATTTTTCATACAGTTAAAAAAAAATTTTTCATTTACGATCAGAAAATATAAAATCTTCGATTACTGGGAGTGGGGGAGGGGACTGCCCCTCCCCTCGGGGCATTGATGCAAGAGTAAAGAAGTCACTCGATGAAGAGAAATGTTGTTAGTATAGCGCTTAAAATAGGCTCGGAGTACTAGGATTAATCATCGCTAGATTTGCTTCCCAAATTTGACGACTATGAAAAGATATAAGTTACTTCTTTTATATATTTATATCGAAATTCGATAATTCCAACAACCAGGATTCATTCGATGTTGAAAAACAATGTTCACTGATAAGAAACGCGCATAACAGAATCAAAGCTTTCATTGTCGATGTATGCAATAACAATCGCGACAATACTTATATATATAACCAACGCTTTAGATAAGCTTAGCGCGGTCTTGTACTCGCGATATTTCGTTTTTGCTTTATCATAATAACAACGCCTCTTATTGGAGAAAGAAAAGTGATGACTTTACGAGTTCGACTGGATCCCACCCGAATCAATTGTGTCTCCAAATGAATAAATGACTGTGTGCAGAACGCTATCGTTTAACCTCTGAATAACGGTACTCGAATTCTCAGTCACCCACTATCAACGTCATATCTTCAAGGACGTTGCGTAATGACTTGAAAAACATAAAAAGATAACATGAGTCACTAAATATGTGTATAAACGAACAAGATATTTCACATTCGAGAAATTTTTATCACAATGCCGCTAACGACACTTGAACTTTTACCAAATGAAATATTATTTCAGTGCTTTCAATATTTGAATATTATTCATATATTTCATTCATTTGATCAATTAAATCATCGTTTTAATCGTCTTATACGAAATATTTCATTTCATTTAAATTTTCAAAATGTTCCAAGTAAATTTCAATGTGAACAATTCTGTCAAAAGTTATCGATTGAACAAACAATCAAAACTCAACTCCATTCATTATACTTATCCAACAAAAGTACTTGTTATCCGGCTCATTTATTCCTTTCAAAATGTTCCTTAACAGATTTTCCAAATCTTCGTTCATTAACTTTTCATCATACAACACAAGTCAATTGGAAACGTATTTGCTCAACTTTACCATTATTATCTGAACTATCTTGTTTGCAGATGATTGATAGTTTTATGGGTGATAGTTTTATAACAGACAATATGATGTCTCTATTAGCAACGATGTCACAAATACAAATATTAAAGCTAACTTTTCGAAACTACCAACAATGGGCTTCAAATATTCACTTTCCATCACTTGTATATTTATCAATAAACCGATGCTATTCAACCGATCTATTCAGTACACTCACTAATGCATTAAAATTAAAATATTTTCGAATAGAGGAAGTTCCTTACACTACTTCTCCTCCAACTCCAGTAAATCTGACTAATCCTGCGATTAATCTTCAAATTCTACATATTGACTCATTTGAAGGTGAAATAGATCATCTTTTTCAATTGTTAGAACGAACACCAAATTTAGAAAACTTATTAATATTGAATTGTTGCCGACCAAATATCATAAATGTCGATAGATGGAAAGACTTGATGATTTTTTCATTAAGACATCTAAAAAAATTTCAATTCATATTTTCTATTGATTACGCCCATCGCAGTGAAAATGATGAACAAATTTTGAAACGATTTCAGAATAGTTTTCCGTATACGGAATATATAATGACAAGAGTTCACGTAACAATTTATACAATACCATATCCATCGAAAAGCTTTATGATTCGACTTGATCGTGATAGACATTATAATGACATGGTTAATTATATGAACACATTTGATTATGTGAAATATTTAACAATCGAACCTGTGATATTAGAAGAAAAAAATCAATATCACTTTTCTAATGTAGATTCGTTATCACTTGCAAGAACATGTTCTTTATTTCGTGATCATCCTCTAAAAGTGAAATATTCAGATTTCAGATGTCTGCAAATGACAGTTAATTTAGCAAATATTAAACATTTGAGTTTATCACAAGATTTTAAATTCGAAACATCAGATATATTCGTGGAAATATTCAAATCTGCGAGAGATTTAACATCATTAAGCGTTTACTTAGATGATCTAGGACATTGGATTGAAGATGGTGAACTATGTAAATATTTTAATAAATGTATTCGAAAACTGGAGTTCTTTGTTTTTAATTGGTTTCAAAACTCGATTCAATTGGAACAATTCTGTAACATATTTAATAACCTTGAACAACTTTACTGTACTGTAAACGAATTAGAAACTCTATTTTTAATTAAATATCTACCTAGATTAACATATCTACAAATTGATGTCTTTTACAAGAATTATCAAATATCTTCGATTGGAAATGAACTGGAAAAACTTGGTTTGGATATAGTTGGTAGCTTTGATGCTGAGTATAATCCTCGGCTATTATTTATTTGGATCAATCGGAATTAATCATGGCCGAAGAATTCATAACTGAACTTATATGAAAGTATGCAGAAACCTTTTTTGTATTTCTTTTTGTTTTAATCTTGACATTTCAATAAACGAGAGATTGGCTTAAAACACACTATAGTGACCGATGTCAGATGCGACTGACTGACTTAGTAAATTCATCTTTGTAGACTGCGGATGGTAAAACAAATACTACAAATGTCACCATCAATGTTATAATTTCATACATCCCGACAGAAGCGATACACTTAGACGAGGAACAGCTAGTAAAATGAGAATACAAGGTAATATTAGTAGATGTTTGAATTGTTGAATTTGGTTTTGTAAATGTTTCTTGAACGGACGCGAGAGACAGTGATAATAACGATTAAAGCTGAGATACAGTTGATTATAAACGGTGCAGCGAAATCAAAGATATCCACAAACCTATCGAATTGTTGCACGGATGATCAGTATCCATGAACGCACCAGGTACGCTGTTCTTCTTTATCGTCAATAAGATAACAATGGATTGGATTGTGAATATACGTCAAACTGCTGAATAGAAGGGTAATCAGAATCATCCATTTTGCTATTTGTTTAATTTTCGCTTTCTTAAAATTAGCTCCTTTTGAGGCACTATATTACTGCACGTTCGATGGCAACACAAGCAGTAAGCCAATCGTTAGTGCTCAAAATAAATCGAAGTAAAAAGTCTATCGACAAACAGTGGAAACGCAGGAAAATCTGGTTTTCGATAGCACCCATATGCACTGCTAAGAGAAACACAAATCTTAAAGTTAATATAACTGTGACAGCGATCGATATAATTGATGTTGCATAAAGATAAAGACCACAACCAACAGTACATGCTTCTTTTCCTCGAAAACTTTGACAAGAAAGAATACTGCGATGGGTATTATTGCAACTTTGATGATAGTAAGTTGTCGACTAATACCAGTATTTGTATGAATATGATTGCGTAGAATTATTTCCAAAGAAAGCACCGAGCCTTTCGTCGAAAGCTAACATCTTCATCCAAAATAACATCGTTTACAAGCGTAACTCAACAGTGTCGAGCATTTGGGATTGTCTTGAAAGCAAAACTCATCGTTTTCGCAAATATTGTCCCCTTTACAATCGTACTTCGTTTTATGATCAAATTCATAACAATTAATGGCGCGGTCAATATCGCGTAAACACAAACTAACTGAAGTTGTTGTTGAGAGTGTGGGTGTCACCAGTCTCATCCCTCACCCACCATCAAGGTGGATCTTGTTTTGAGCTGTACGTCAAAGCATTTTATAAGCTGGGAATATGATTTTGCGGCAAATTAACTTTTTAAATTAATTCCTAATTTTTGACAAAATCACAATATAGGAAGACTCTGTTTGTTCAACTATAAAGTGCAGATGAAATTGCATAATAGACTTAGTGGTATGAGCAGTATTGCGGTATAAACGATATTGTGGTGTAATAGCACAGGATGTATAGAAGTAAGCTACTATACCGCATATACCATTTATACTGCAGGGTGGTAAATAATATTATTCCAGGGGGATAACGGTATAATTGCGAATAATAACCATAATGAATTTTAAATCAAATAAAAGTCCGTCAAAAACGGGATCTACGGATATGATTAGCCATTCCTAAAATAAGAATGGACTGAGAAAATAAGGAAAGTTTCAAACTTTGATGCTAAGGTCTAAATAATTCGTAGTTTAAACAAAGTTTTCTTTTCCGTTTTTAATTGCTTATTCTGGTAGATCTTGACGCGCTGATCATTTTAGTAAAAAGAGTCTTTAAATTTCATTGACAAATAACTATGCTAGAGTCAAAATACTGAAAACATCATGGTTTTATGATGAATAAACTTGATAGATGTTTTTCGTATTCCGACTCTAGCTCCGTTATTGATCAATGAAATTTAAAAACTTTTTTCTACTAAAATGACGAAAATGAAAAGCTCTACAGACTTGAAGACGCGCCACCGGGAGCTTGACGTTTTTTAGTTGGCCACTGGTAAAAAGATTGAATTATACGACTAAAATTTGAAACTTTCCTTATTTTCTCGGTCCATTCTTATTTTAGGAATGGCTAATCATATCCGTAGATCCCGCTTTTGACGGGCTTTCATTTGATATAAAATTCATTATGGTTGCTATTCGCAATTATACCGTTACCACCTGTGACGATCCACAGTTAGCATCCACTCTCTTTGCACTTAGCTTCTACACCTGAAGCATATCGAGCCATATGCTCGGTACTCACCTTTGTACTTTTACCAGTACTAATCCTTTTCTCACAGCTGATGATCAGCTGATTTTATATGGCGTGATACTACCCGGACTAATCTTTCAGCTGATTGCATATGACGTGATACTATACATTCTGAGGACTATATAAGGACTGAGGATTGTATAGTAGTGTGTGCTTGATTCGGATAAGAAATAAACTCATCTCTCATCAGCACCTTCCTCTCTTGGTTTAGTGAACGAAGAAATTCGTCACACCACCCTGTATAATAAATAAGAGGACGAGAAAACAACGGTCGTNTTTTTTCTTTCATTAGATTAAAAACGTTACATATCGAGAGAATCGTTTTCTAACTAACAGTTTTATAATAGTGATGTCTCGAAGAGGAATGTATCTTATGCTTTTGTTTCTTCTTATTGAACAATTCGTTGCACAAGATATGCGATCAGCAAAGATGTTTGTATTTCACAGTTTGGAATTTCAATGTGTTAATACCACTTGTACATCGTACGTCAATCAAACGGCGAAAGATGTTCTCATATGTCAAATAGCGTGTCTATCGTCACTTCAATGTAAAGCAGCCAGTTTTTATCAATCAACGTTGACTTGTCGGTTATTTACTGATGCATTGCTTCAGAATACAAATATGTTGGCCAATTCGAATGTAATTTCATTGATTGTTCAAAGTGGAACTCGAGTACCGCCTGGTTAGTACAAATACTTCATGTTAGATATACAAAGAGACAAAAAGTTCCCGTTAATTTTGTCTCTGCTATAACTTTGCAATAGAATGTGGTAGCACGTTGAGCTTTTTTCCTTAAAAAGAGCACATTTTCTGCAACAAAAGTATACGAAAGAGATTGATTGCGAAAGTTCTAGAAGATGACATACTGAAAAACTAGTTAGTCTGTTTTTATCACCAATATTTCCTGTTATCTAATGTCGTATCTAAATAAAGAAGGCTTTCAATTGTCATTAAAAGAAATCGTATAGTAGACACGGATAGAAATATAAACATTTCTTCCATCAAATAAATTGTTGTATTTTGAGGGTGTAGGTATGAATGATTTCGAAAAAAACGTAATGTTCTTTGCTCTCACTGAAACTCAATGATTCGAAAGATCCTCGGTGATTACACGAAAAAGACTAATCTTTAGTTCACACTTATAAAACTTTTTTTCTTTCGTTTAATTAATTGTCTTTTTTTCACAAAAAAGTGTCCACTACGACATCAACTTCAACGTCAACTTCATCGTCATCTACATCAAGCACAAGCTCCACCTTCACTTCAACATCAACCTCAACGTCAAGTACGACTTCAGCAACTACTGGTATGTAATCGTTGAGAGGGATCTTTTCTTGTGCACTCTTCTTGCCAACTGGGATAAACATACGTCTCAATAATAAACAGCATTGAGCGGTGTTCTCGAAGGTATTTCATGCATCTGTAGTGGTCCGTTGGTCATGAAAAAGATGACGAGCATGGTCTTTCGCTTGAACTGCTGACATCTCACTTCAATTACAGGGCTTGCTCCTATTCGTACGTGTTAAACTTGAAAATAGAATTCAACTATCAATTTAATTATTCGAACACTGAATGAGGATGAGTGGGTGGGTGACTGTCGGTAGGGATCTCTCTTGATGAGTGTGGGGTGCGTGATGCGCGTATCTTCTGATTGAGAATGTGTTCGGTTTGTTACATAATCCAACACTGAGAAACTGATTAGCGAAGGCGGCCAGAGGCAGTCTGCGCGCTCACAGAGAACAATCCACATGTTCTCTATATCGATGACAGTTCTGTGCATGTCACAGGCAACCTAAGCAACTCAACAATAGTATTACACAATTTCAAACGATTAAGATAAATCTTGAGGTGGGTGAGGGTGAATTCAAAGGGTATAAAGTATTAAATCACGTGAGAATGCGAATGAGGTGGATAAATGAACGACGAGTGATGTCATAATACCAATATCCCGGGTATCTATCCCAAAACGGAGATGTCTATATCTCCACACGAGGAATTTGAGTAAATTTGGTCATGAATTGTAGTATTCAATTAGAAATAGATCGAAAACGGCGTGCCATAGGTGGCACAATATTTCACATGGAGGCTTTCGATAGGTTTGTTATGCTGGCGTAGAAACGCTTTGTAGAATCCCAACGTAGAATGTTAGGAATCTGTAGTAGACTAATCGGGGTCTCCAGCGCTCTCACATCGTACTGCACTTATAGGCCCAGCTTTTTAGCTCCTCCGTGGTCTGTAGGATTCTGTTTGAGTATCGGGTAACAATATCAGTCAATCAAGTCTATTTCGTTACCCTACTGTATCGAAACGTTCAGCTTTGGATACCCAGCGTAGTGATATTATGACAGTTGTGTGAACGACTGAAATGGAGAATGAATATCGGAGAAAAAAAGGAAATGTGAATAAATTCTGATGCAGAAATTAGCTCCCGCAACTCTTTTCCATAATGAGATATAACTTAAACTGCTGCTTTGTTCGACGGCCGGCGAGAAAGATAGGGACCGCAAGCGTAGAAATTTGAAGTATATTGATTATTCTATCTATTGCAGTTTTTCAACACCTAATACGTTCGACATAGATATTCCTTATTACCGACTGGGCACCCCCCACTAGTTCAAGTATAATAGTTAAACACTCAAAGAGATAGTTGAATACTTGAATTCAAGTTTCGAATTTGACACTACTGGAAAATTAAAGAAAAACAAATAATTTTCGATTGAAAATTTTGCAGAAGGAAAAAATAGAGTTTTGAATTTGTTTTTGTTTTGTTTAGCATGGACAACGACTGGAAGTATGAGTGTTGCGCGATATAGTTATGCAGCATCGGTTTTATCAAATGGAAAAGTCCTAGTCGCTGGTGGATACACTGGTAGTGCTATTCTGAATAGTGCTGAATTGTATGATCCATCAACAGGTAATTGGACAACAACTGGAACTATGAGTGTTGTGCGGAAATCTCCTCAAGCATCGATTTTATCAAATGAAAAGGTCTTAGTTACTGGTGGATACACTGGTAGTGTTCATCTGAATAGTGCTGAATTGTATGATCCATCAACAGGTAGTTGGACAACAACTGGAACTATGAGTGTTGGGCGATATGCTCATACGCAATCGGTTTTATCAAATGGAAAAGTCTTAGTCACTGGTGGATTAAGTGATAGTGGTTATCTGAATAGTGCTGAATTGTATGATCCATCAACAGGTAGTTGGACAACAACTGGAAGTATGAGTGTTGCACGATATGGTCACAAGGCATCGATTTTATCAAATGAAAAAGTCTTAGTCACTGGTGGATACACTGGTAGTGTTGATCTGAGTAGTGCTGAATTGTATGATGCATCAACAGGTAATTGGGCAGCAACTGGAAGTATGAGTGTTGCACGATATAGTTATACGCAATCGGTTTTATCAAATGGAAAAGTCTTGGCCACTGGTGGAACCATTGGTAGTGTTTCTCTGAATAGTGCTGAACTGTATGATCCATCAACAGGTAATTGGTCAGCAACTGGAAATATGAGTGTTGCACGAGACACACATACAGCATCGATTTTATCAAATGGAAAAGTCCTAGTCGCTGGTGGAGAGACTGGTAGTGTTTCTCTGAATAGTGCTGAATTGTATGATGCATCAACAGGTAGTTGGACAAGAACTGGAAATATGCGTGCTGCACGAGATTCACACACAGCATGGATATTATCTAGTGGAAAGGTCTTAGTCGTCGGTGGAAAGAATGGTAGTATTACTCTGAGTAGTGCTGAGATCTATTGACGAAAAACGATTTTGAAGTTGAACTTGAATTTCTTTTGTTTTTAAAAAAAAGTGGCAAATTGAAAAGATAAGATTTTTGTTGAAATTTTACCAACAAACAAGAAATTTGTTGAACTGAAAAACGAGAGAATGTTTGAAAATATTTGTTTTTGATCTTCTTTTGAATTTTCAACGAAATGAGAACGGAGAAATTTCAGAGAATAAATCGAACGGTGATGAAAATCAAGTTCAAAAGTTGGCTTTTCGATAAAACTATGTGTTAAATTCGATTATCTGTTGAAATTGATTAGATTTGACAAGAAAATGAAGAAAGAAAGAATTTTGCGAAAGAGTTTTTGATTTTCGAAAAGTATTGTAAATTGTGATGATTCGACGATAAACATGCGAACTGATGAAAACTTGTAAAAAATTGCAAGGAAAAAGTTGAACAAAAATGATTCTCAATATGAAAATGATCTGTGAAGAAGAAGTTGAGGTGAAAATGAAGAATTTTGTTGAGAGATTTTCACTTTCCTATGCGAGAAGACAAATAAAAGATTTGACTTTTCTCTTTTTTGATGAAAAGAATTTTTCTTTGACAAAGAAAGAAAAACTTGCTGTCTTTTGTCACATTTATATTCATGTTTGAAAATTTCAACATCTTCTTCTCCAATTCTTTCTGAATGTCAATTGAAGAGAAAAAAGAAGAGCTGATCTTCATATTTTATAAAACATTTCAATTTTTAATGGAAAACAATCGCAAACAATTATCGGTGTGAAGCTAGCACGAACAAGCGATGTGTTAGCTAAAAACTGTTTCACTAAGTATGTCCCATCCATTAAAACTAGTATCACTCGACTGAATAAGTAACTTTAAATGTTTTCTCTTGCTGAAATTATTCATATTAATGTAAACTTGATTATTACGTACTAGTCATAGTCCTTTTTTACCTTATAATCCTTTAAGTCATTTTGTAAGAATTTTAAAAACGTAATATAAATCAAATGACAGCTGCAAAGATTTGATTCAGAGCTTCGCTAATCAACTGCATAAAATAAATTTGTTTTATATTCTATGAAACGAAAGAGAAATGAACAGAATAAATCAATATCTGTGTCAACATACAGAACACAATTAGAAAAGCAAAATAATCTCGATTTTAAAGAATTTTAAAATGTAGAAATTCCATAATTCAATCAAAGATAATGAAAAATTTATGCAAAATTCAAATTATATATTGTACAAACTGATAAACGAAGTAACAGTTATCTTATTATACATATGATTCATTGAAACCATTTCGGAAAACGTGATCGTATATTGAAAAACAGTTGATCCTGTCTCTCCATTTCAGCAACTTGAAATTTAGATGGTTTCATCAGCAAAACTTTATTATCAAATGGTCGTAGAATAGCTAGATCGGCCAAACGTTTTACACGAGATAGTGGTACGTATACTGCTGCAATATCGTCAGTTTCATTCAGCAATTTTAAATCAATAACTACTTTGCTCAATGTTTGACCTTGGCTTTTATGTGTTGTAATACAATAAGCAGGTACAAGTGGTAATGCACATTGTTTAATTGATAAAACTGTCTTTTGATTCGATTTCGGTTTCTTATCTTTTGGAATGAGATCACCAACGTCAACCTGAAATGTTTGTTCTGTAAGTGGAATTGGTATAAGTTTTGGTTCAAGATCTTGAAGTTTGCATTCAATCTTCGATTGAACAATGTCGATTAATCCTGGTACTCCGAGCCTGGGTCATTTTTTACCCATATGTAAAAATGTGAAAATACAAAAGAAATATTTTGTTATATCCTAGTTTTCTAAACCAACTAGTATTCAGGGGGCAAGGGAAAATGTCTAAGGATGTCGAGAGGGAAGGGGGAGGGACACTTTGCGTCCCCCCTCCCCCGCTCGAACAAAGAAAAAATCTGTAAATCATAAATTTTTTCAAAAAAAACACAAAAATTTTCGATATTCCTGGGAGTGTTACACCACCTGCTTTTAAAAAATTTGTTTGGTTTCTGTTTAGCCAATTAAGATGATAGATGATTCATTCATTTATGGATCGAAGATGAGACTTGCCTCTCTTTTTAAAGTCATATCTATTGATGATTTTTTTAAATGTTTACCTTCATATGCATATTTATTCTTTTAGCTGATAGTAATTTATCTAGTGCGTCTTTATTTACCTTTCATTTATAGATAAAAATTTTTTTTTCTTATACACGCTGAATAAATTGCTCAGAATATTATGAAAACAATTATGAACAGTTGGATTGAAGATGAAAGTGATGATGAAGACCTTTACGATCAAGATATCGGTTCGGAAACAGAAAATGCTGAAAGTCAAACATCAGAAGAAGATGATGAAACTGATTTAGAAAATCTTAAATTGGACGACGATTCTACAGAAAGGAGTTTATATAGTTCTAAATCTGGAATTATCTGGTCCTCAATTCCGTCCTCTTCGACGAAAATAAGCTCTTCAAATGATACAAACGAGAAAACTGTACCTACTGGATTCACTGAAAATGTATCATCTATTGAAGATTCATTTGTGTTTTATGTCGGAAAAAATCATACACAAAATTTTGATTTATTCAAGTATGGAACATATTCGAAATACTACTTCTAATGGAAAGACAGAAGAAATAACAATGATGGAAATAATAGCTTTTATTGGACTTTTATTACTTGGTGGTTTATTATGAAAATCGAAGAAAGTCATTAAATCCATATAGAGAAGAAATCCGTTAGAGTCTCCTATATTCGAAGCCACTATGTCAAGAGAATGTTTTGAAAAAATTATCTCCTGCTTAAGATTTGATGATAAAACAACAAGAGAAGAAAGGGAAAGAAGTGAACAAAGAACTTCAAATGAAGAACTTGACTCTTATAGGAACATTACGAAAAAATAAACCAGAAATATCTATGGAATTCTAGTCAAACAGAAAACGTGAAATTGGTCCTTCACTCTTTGATTTTCATGACGGTTTAACTGTAGTATCATTTGTGCCCAAACAAAATAAAGTTGTATTACTACTTTGTTCAAAACATCATGATAATCAGGTGGATATGAAAACTGGAAAACCAATTATTGTTTTGGATTATAATAAAACAAAGGGAGCTGTTGATACTGTTCATCAAATGTGTCATAAGTATACGGTAAATTTTTTTTTTCTTTTACATTTCTACATTTCATTTTCTATAGGTTAAACGAGGTACAAGGCGATGACCACTTTGCGTCTTTTATGGAATGATAGATATTGCCACTATAAATGCTCTGATCGTATGGAAGGCGAAAGCCCCTCAATGGGATCAAAATAAAAAATATCAACGTCGATTATTCCTGGAAGAACTAGGACTCAGTTTAGTATAAAATCTTTTGATTTTTCGTTCAAAAACGTCGACATTTCTGAATAAAGATGTTGAAAATGCGTTAGGTATTGTTGGTTATCCGATGGTAAAGAATCTACAAGAACCAGAACCAAATGAAAATTCTACGCAGCCAAAAAAAAATTTTTTATTTACGATCAGAAAATATAAAATCTTCGATTCCTAGGGGGGGGGGGGGGTGGGACTGCTTTCCCCTCGGGACATTGATGCAAGAGTAAAGAAGTCACTCGATAAAGAGAAGTGTTGTTAGTATAGCGCTTAAAATAGGCTCGGAGTACTAGGGTTAATCATCGCTAGATTTGCTTCCCAAATTTGACGACTATGAAAAGATTTAAGTTACTTCTTTTATTTATACCGAAATTTGATAATTCTAACAAACCGGTTGAGTTGATCTTCATCCGAAGAGTATTGTTTTTTAAAAAACACGATTGAATAACAACCAGGATTCATTCGATGTTGGGAAACAATGTTCGCTGATAAGAAACGCGCATAACAAAATCAAAGCTTTCATTGTCGATGTATACAATAACAATCACGGCAATACTTATATATATAACCAACGCTTTAGATAAGCTTAGCGCGATCTTGTACTCGCGATATTTCGTTTTTGCTTTATCATAATAACAACGCCTCTTATTGGAGAAAGAAAAGTGATGGCTTTACGAGTTCGACTGGATCCCGCCCGAATCGATTGTGTCTCCAAATGAATAACTGACTGTGTGCAGAACGTTATCATTTACCCACTGAATAACAGTACTCGAATTCTCTGTCACCCACTATCAACGTCATATCTTCAAGGACGTTGCGTAATGACTTGAAAAACATAAAAAGTTAACATGAGTCACTAAATATGTGTATAAACGAACAAGATATTTCACATTCGAGAAATTTTTATCACAATGCCGCTAACGACATTTGAACTTTTAGCAAATGAAATATTATTTCAGTGCTTTCAATATTTGAATATTATTCATATATTTCATTCATTTGATCAATTAAATCATCGTTTTAATCGTCTTATACGAAATATTCCATTTCATTTAAATTTTCAAAATATTCCAAGTAAATTTCAATGTGAACAATTCTGTCAAAAGTTATCGATTGAACAAACAATGAAAACTCAACTTCATTCATTATACTTATCCAACAAAAGTACTTGTTATCCGGCTCATTTATTCCTTTCAAAATGTTCCTTAACAGATTTTCCAAATCTTCGTTCATTAACTTTTCATCATACAACACAAGTCAATTGGAAATGTATTTGCTTAACTTTACCATTATTATCTAAACTATCTTGTTTGCGGATGATTGATAGTTTTATGGGTGATAGTTTTATAAGAGACAATATGATGTCTCTATTAGCAACGATGTCACAAATACAAATATTAAAGCTAACTTTTCAATACTACCAACAATGGGCTTCAAATATTCACTTTCCATCACTTGTATATTTATCAATAAACCGATGTTATTCAACCGATCTATTCGGTACACTCGCCAGTGCATTAAAATTAAAACATTTGCGAATAGGGGAAGTTCCTTCCACTACTTCTCCTCCAACTGCAGTAAATTTGACTAATCCTGCGATTAATCTTCAAACTCTACATATTGACTCATTTGAAGGTGAAATAGATCATCTTTTTCAATTGTTAGAACGAACACCAAATTTAGAAAAGTTATCAATATTGAATTGTTGTCGACCAAATATCATAAATGTCGATAGATGGAAAAACCTGATGATTTCTTCATTAAGACATCTAAAAAAATTTCAATTCATATTTTCTATTGATTACACCAATCGCAGCGAAAATGATGAACAAATTTTGAAACGATTTCAGAATAGCTTTCCGTATACGGAATATATGATGACAAGATCTTACGTAACAATTTATACAATACCATATCCATCGAAAAGCTTTATGATTCGACTTGATCGTGATAGACATTATAATGACATAGTTAATTATATGAACACATTTGATCATGTGAAATACTTAACAATCGAACCTGTGATATTAGAAGAAAAAAATCAATATCATTTTTCTAATGTAGATTCGTTATCACTTGCAAGCACATGTTCTTTATTTCGTGATAATCCTCTAAAAATGAAATATTCAGATTTCAGATGTCTGCAAATGACAGTTAATTTAGCAAATATTAAACATTTGAGTTTATTACAACATTTTAAATTCGAAACATCAGGTATACTCGTGGAAATATTCAAATCTGCGAGAGATTTAACATCATTAGGCGTTTACTTAGATGATCTAAGACATTGGATTGAAGATGGTGAACTATGTAAATATTTCAATAAATGTATTCGAAAACTGGAGTTCTTTGTTTTTAATCGGTTTCAAAACTCGATTCAATTGGAACAATTCTGTAACATATTTAATAACCTTGAACAACTTTACTGTACTGTAAACGAATTAGAAACTCTATTTTTAATTAAATATCTACCTAAATTAACATATCTACAAATTGATGTCTTTTGCAAGAATTATCAAATATCTTCGATTGGAAATGAACTGGAAAAACTTGGTTTGGATATAGTTGGTAGTTTTGATGCTGAGTACAATCCTCGGCTATTATTTATTTGGATCAATCGGAATTAATCATAACCAAAGAATTCATAACTGAACTTATATGAAAGTATGCAGAAACCTTTTTTGTATTTCTTTTTGTTTTAACATTGACATTTCAATAAACGAGAGATTGACTTAAAACACACTATAATGATCGATGCCAGATGCAACCGACTGACTTAGTAAATTCATCTTTATAGACTGCGGATGGTAAAACAAATACTACAAATAACACCATCAATGTTATAATTTCATACATCCCGACAGAAGCGATACACTTAGACGAGGAACAGCTAGTAAAATGAGAATACAAGGTAATATTAAGTAGATGTTTGAATCGTTGAATTTGGTTTTGTAAATGTTTCGATTATAAACGGTGCAGCGAAATCAAAGATATTCAAGAACCTATCGAATTGTTGCACGGATGATCAGTATCCACGAACGCACCAGGTACGCTGTTCTTCTTTATCGTCAATAAGATAATAATGGACTGGATTGTGAATATACGTCAAACTACTGAATAGAAGGGTAATCAAAATCATCCATTTTGCTATTTGTTTAATTTTCGCTTTCTTAAAATTAGCTCCTTTTGATACACTATATAACTGCACGTTCGATGGTAACACAAGCAGTAAGCCAATCGTTAGTGCTCAAAATAAATCGAAGTAAAAAGTCTATCGACAAACAGTGGAAATGCAGGCAAATCTGGTTTTCGATAGCACACATATGCACTGTTAAGAGAAATACAAATCTTAAAGTTAATATAACTGTGACAGCGATCGATATAATTGATGTTGCATAAAGATAAAGACCACAACCAACAGTACATGCTTCTTTTCCTCGAAAAGTTTGACAAGAAAGAATACTGCGATGGGTATTATTGCAACTTTGATGATAGTAAGTTGTCGACTAATACCAGTATTTGTATGAATATGATAGCGTAGAATTATTTCCAAAGAAAGCACCGAGCCTTTCGTCGAAAGTTAACATCTTCATCCAAAATAACATCGTTTACAAGCGTAACTCAACAGTGTCGAGCATTTGGGATTGTCTTGAAAGCAAAACTCATCGTTTTCGCAGATATTGTCCCCTTTACAATCGTACTTCATTTTATGATCAAATTCATAACAATTAGTGGCGCGGTCAATATCGCGTAAACACAAATTAACTGAAGTTGTTGTTTACATGGAATATGATAGTATTTTATACGTTTCAATAGGTGTTGATGAACGAATGTTCCATTGAACAGCTCAGAAATCGATCGACATCGATGACTAGGAGAAACTTCGGTAGTTGCTCCCTCTACTGAAAAGAGGGTTATGCGTCGAGCAAGTATTATAAAAAAAAACGAGTTGATGTTGGTTGGTTGATTGGTTTGTATGCGTTAAAGAAACAGCACGGAAAATTTTTTTATCTAAAACGAAAGGTCTAATAGAGTCATAAAAAGGTCCAAACTATTAGGCCTTTAGTTCTTTCCTATGAAAAATGCCGCTAAACAAGTTTTTAAAGTCAATTTTGAGGATTAAAAATTGATGTTTTCAGAGTAGCTCAGTATTTTTCGATTATTTCGAGAACGACTTGCCCGTTCGAGCTTGGGAACGTTTCATTCAATAGAATGCAACATAAGCTGTAAATTGACTCCATTTAAGTAACAATACTATATGGCATAAAAAGCGATACAAGTAAAACATTGATGAGAAATCGAAGAAAACGGACTATGATACGAATGGTATTTTATATTTTTCTCACACTGTGTAACTGATGTCACGCTGATTTTTTAACCATAGATAGATCTTGTTTCGGTACACATTTTGGTATAAGATATTCAGGGTTTAAAACACTCGGAAGACATAGCAACGTCGATAATACAGAATCCAACCAACTTTTCAACAATTTATTTTCTTGATCAAAATGAAGGAATCTCTTTGAATATCTTTTAGAGTTGAGCTGAAATTTATGCTTAAAATATAAGACTTGGTTGAATGAGTTGTTATTCAATGATTTTTCAGTAAACTCTGATGCAATCATCCTCATGAGCCTATCATTCTTACACACACTAGATATGTACTCACTGTTTTGGTTATAATTTAAGAATGGTAACAGATATTGAGGTCGGGTTTTCACCATTCGATACATGACGTTATTGGCTCGAATCCATAGGAAAGTCGATGAATAGATGTGTAGAAACAATGTTCGTTTCGCTTACGTCTTTGGACAAATGAATTGAAAGTACTTTGACATGAATCAAATAGAAAACGACTAAAAGGAAAGAGTGGGCATAAAAGTGACTTCACTTCGAAGTCGATTTGATTGAGACCTAAGCGAAAGCTTCTGTCTACTACTTTTCTAATTGTTTCAGAAAAGGGTCAGCGAATCCAACGGATGGACACTACTTGTGTTTATGTAACTCTAAACATGAATAGTTTCAAACTAGGTGAGCGCATTTGTACAAAAGTACATAGTTCCTGTGTGAATCTCTTCAATTTAAAATGCAAGGTAGATAGTATTAAAAAGAATGCTGAGTTTATTGCAGTTTGAGAAAAAAAAGGTGTATTTGTGTTTTCCTAATAGCTTTTACTGATAAATCTTGGCATTCCTCAAGTAAAGAAGAAATGAATCGATTTGAGTTTGGACTCTTTTCTTGATTGTACCGTTGTTTCACGTATCGAAGCTGTTGCGATACATTCCTATATCGAAAACAGATGTAAAATCTACCTAAAAGAAGGACTAAATTACTCAGAGCGTCGATATCTCTTGAGAAAATATGAAGACCGCGGTCTTGAACGGTGACGACGTTGCGGTTTATTTTGAACATACCGTGATAAATTTGCAATCGTTATAAAAAAAACACGACAGTCAGCGATATCTGTTTTTAAATTTTCTCGTGGGTGGAACTCAGCTACTTTTTATAAGAGACGTGACATACTTCTTTTTACAATAAATCAAAAGCTTCCATAAACAAAACATGATAACAGTCAATAAACTCTGAGATCGATGAAAATTAGTTTATTTGGCCTCTCTACACTAAAGTTAGAGTCTTTTGATCATATTAATCCTTGTAGTACTGGTTTCACAGGGGAGTCAAACATGACCTCGGCTGGTACTACTAGGGTTAAGCATTAAGCCATCTTATGGTACTGTGGAGATCAGTCGAAACGTGTCATGGAAGCTAGCACGCTCACACCCTCACCCTCATTGTGAACAATACACAGATGTAAAATTGAAAGAATTCCAGGATAATATTAGAGATCATAAGGGTAGTGAAAAAGCTTTCCGTTATTGTCGGTTGGGTTTGTTATATCATGATCTTCTCCATTTTGATGAACTGCAAACATATACTCATAATCAACTATTGTACGATGAAATTGTGGATCATAAGCTTGCGTTAATTGCTCCACACTGACTGAAACTTATTCAATGCCTAGTATCGACAGCTGGAAAGCAGAAACCGATTAAAATGATACAAGAAATACTGAACTCAGCTGATGAAAAACATAGAGTTGTCTACAACTATCAAAATAGCCCATCTAGATGTACAATGATGTGAGCAAAAGTTAAATAAATATCAATGTGGACCATTTCAAAGACTTTAAATAGTTATTCTGGCGAATATGATCTGAAACTCTGTATCATTAAAACAGACATAAAGTTTCATTTTGCGTATTGTTCTTAAATTTTCTACTCTACTATTTTGACGCTAAAGCTGAATTTCTGTGAAACTGAAGATGATGACATATGGTGATCAAAACGTTCTTGAAACTCTATATTTTATTGAAAGTAACGACGTTTCGTTCGTCTGGCTACATCATAAGCTAGATTCAGTGGTCATGACATTTGAAAAAGAGCATTCACTATTCTGTGACGATTTTTGATGGAAGAGATGTGTGCGCTGATGGTAGTACGCTTATATTTATTTCTTCCTCCCAACAATCGCATTGATTTTTTCTAATCTGTTTTCTTTCGCCTCTGTACTTTCAGATTATGAACTTGCCTCGATCAACAATAGATCATCACGATGATGGCAAAGAAGAACTACCGTCATTAATATACTGTTTGTTGGTAGTTCTCAATCGGGCAAGTCAACATTGATAAAGGTATTGGAAAATCAGGATTATAAATCGTCACACACCGGCTTTTCCGAAACAAAACCGCCATGCTTTAAATCATTCACAATAACTACTGATCCTACCAATCCAGCTGCTATCGTTTATCTTTTGAATATTATCGATATACCCGGTTTGAAAGAAATTCGCCGTCAAACAATGGAAACACGTACCGATGATGAACTCTTGTCAGACATAGATGCATTTATCAGACACTATTTCGATAGATTGCATTGCCTATGTTTTGTTGCAGAAGCTAGTCGAGTGCATCAAAAAGATTTGGAAATATTTGAAAAATTAATGAATTTCTTTGACCCAAAGTTATCAGCGTATTCGATGTTGATTCTAACGTCTGCAGATAAATATACAAATGAAAAACTGGAGGAATTTAAAAATGACATTCGAGATCACCAATTGAGCAAAAGAATTTATAATTATTGTAAATTAGGTATCTATTATCACGGTATTCCTAATTATGATGATTTGGATACATATGCTGACAGACAAGATATGTTACAAAAAATACTTGTCANTGACCCAAAGTTATCAGCGTATTCGATGTTGATTCTAACGTCTGCAGATAAATATACAAATGAAAAACTGGAGGAATTTAAAAATGACATTCGAGATCACCAATTGAGCAAAAGAATTTATAATTATTGTAAATTAGGTATCTATTATCACGGTATTCCTAATTATGATGATTTGGATACATATGCTGACAGACAAGATATGTTACAAAAAATACTTGTCATCAAACAACAGCATGTCAGACCAATGACAAAGATGCTGATAGCAAAATTGATTCAATGTAGTCAGCACAGTATGCAACTTCGACCTGTCAATAATAATCCATTAATAAATGAACCGACTTTGTTGTCGGAGACTGACAATAGGCATGGTAAGTGTATCGCTAGGATTGACTTTGATTTACTATATGATATATGTTTGAAGATGAGGGTAACTGTGAGTGAACAAGTCACAGTGATAAAAGATGCACGGATGTGTCAGGACGATAGGAGTATGATGCTATTCTCTAAACTCATATCCACACCCGCACCCATATGTGTTACTATTATCCATTATCCGATGCTCAAAGTCTTTCGTGAGTGAAGCGCAGCATATGCAGCAAGTTAAATCACGGATTAGTAAGATGCGTATCAATGAGCTACAAGTGCACGTATCTTTCTAGAATTCTTCCTATAATTCTATTTGGCTTATTTTCAGACCGGATTATTGCCGCAAATACCTTGCAAAGGCGAAAAAACCTTAACGACTTCTTATCTTGATCGATCGGTTCGCATAGCGACGAAGCAAACTCTAGATTGATGATTTTATATTTCAACAACTTCTTAAATGTCTTATTGAATAATCTCAGTTTCAGTCATTTACTGACTAAACAATACGACTTACTGGTGAATGGGCCTCAGATATGTATTTTTCGCCTTGAGAAACCCGAAAAAGCAGCTTTTCTCGAACAATGCTTTTTGAGCTCCACAGACAAATTTTTTTCGTTTGACTCTCTTTATAGTCGTGAGAACAAAACTGCATTTCTACGGAATTATGTTTCGAAGCCTTGCGCGTGAGGATCAGTGATTTACATAGCGAGCTAACTAAAATACGTCCAACAGTTGCCCGTTGTCTCTACATACCAGACCACAAGGGAAAAAACCTAAAAAAGAACGACCTTGTCTTGCTTCATTAAAGTGCGAATCTATTGGTTAGCGCATTGCATCGTCTATTTTAGCAAAAATGATTTACTCAGATATTGATGATAGACTGTGCTCATATATATCATAGGCGGATCAACTCAATCATATGCTGCCGCCATTGTCCTCAGTACTATCGCTGGGGTGACGACAACAGAACTATTTTGCTCGCGGGCATACAATAATTCGCAGCTTGAATTCTTAAATACTTTGGCTCAAAAATTTGAACATACATCCCCGGTGAATTTAGAGGTTTTTCCAAATGCAATGGATAAACATGGATTCTGTGATAAAATACAGCACAGCTTTAAACGAATTTTGGGATTTGTGATCGATGCAATTGGTTCACTATTAGAAGTAGTGAACGCAGAAACAGGTAAATCTTTCACAGATAAATGTGCTGGATGTATTGAAGAAGATTCCAATACAAACCAAGTCGTGGCGATGAAAGGTATACTGGAGAAGTATTTGAAACAGGAAGAATTGAAACAAAGAGAAATACTCCGATCAGTTGAACAAGAAAAGGCAAAGATCAGATGGTCAATCCTCAGAGCAGACAAATTAAAGCCTTATTTGATCTCAGCAATAACTCTAATAAATCTGATCATGACTGTAATAACACACAAAAACACTCGAAATATATTTATACAGCAGCGAAAAGTTATGAATGAGACAAAAGCGCTTTTAGAACAAAGTGCACCTCTCTTAAATGATTATTATAAAGAGGCTAAAGAATTGATGGAAAGTTTAAAATCGATCGATAAACAAGAATTGGATACTTCAGTTCGACTGTCAGCTCGAGTTCCATTTATGTTGCATTTACTTTTACATTCCCAGAAAAAATTAGAAAGAATGAAATCGCAACTGGAGCTGATCGCTTCGAAACTATGTTCTCAGAAAAATGTTCACACAGCTGGGACGCATTCTACTACAATCTGTACCCTGTATAATACAGCAACAATCAGAGGTCGGAAAGCAAGTCTGTGGTATATGGCAGGTATCGCAGTGGGTCTTTTTATGTTAACAGCAAATGGTGTTTCAATTTATAAATGCAAAAAGGATTCTGAGGTATTACTGCAATCAATCAAAGAGACCGAAGAACTAATTGCAAACGCTGACAAAAGTATCAAGTTACTGCAAATATGAACGATTGAAACTATTAATAGCCACAGCACATGACTATGACACGTATTACTGTGTATGCTTATGTGAGAACAGAAATTACATCGTGAATTGAGATAATGAGGCCCACAAAATCGAAAAACTTTTCATGTCTCTTCTTATGATATATATACTTGAGAAACAGGTGTAGGCGTGTGTTGGCGTGTAAGTTTTTATCAAATGGATCCAAAGCATTACACGACGCGTTTCAATCCTTGCTTAATCCGTTCGTGTCATCGATGTGAAGCTAGCACGAACAAACGATGTGTTAGCTAAAAACCTTTTTTGACTAAATATGTTCCATCCATGAAAACTGCACCTTTCGATCCAGAATTAACGATAAATGAAACCCGCCCTATTACTGTTCGCAAGCGTCTTGGAATGAAATAACTCTAACACTCTATTTCAATAAATTGTACAAGCTTATAGTTTTACCAGGTGAAGATAAAACACCCTCACCCTCACCCGCAAGTGTGGAATTTTGTTTTTATTTTACTTTCTAATAAAGATAAACTTATAAAAAATCTTCATGATTATCCTTAGAATATAGAGTACAGTAAACACCTGTAATCTAATGAAATCACGCCATTCTCTATTCTTCTTAATGAAGAGATTATTATAAAATATTTGTTATATACATTTTACTTTCTATATTTTATGATATTCAATATTGATTTAAGTAGGAGTGTACAGCTCACGCTCACGTGAGCGGTACACCCCTAGATTTAAGCAGTGTGCTGCAACCTTCTGTATGAAAATATTTCAACGTTTGTTGAATATTCTCTGTTCATAAAAAAGATAACTCACATATGTCACGATTATATCTGGCTACGCAGTGATATTAAAAAGGAAATCATCTATTAATGTTGTGGTTGCTTCAACATTGAAACAATCATTTTGATAAGGAAAAAAAATAGAGAGAGAGAGACAGAGAGATGTTTTAAACCTTGTTCAATTTATCTTGGGCATATTGAAAAAGTATCGAAAAGCTTACAAAGTCAGATGGTATGTAGAATCGTTTTGTTTTTAGATTTTTTATGAGAATAATTTGCTATGGTGTTATAACTATGGACACAAAATTAGCAATGAAGAATGACGACAATCGAGTCAATGACGTAAAACCTATTAAGTAAAATATGAAATAACTTTATTTTTATTTCATTATTTTAGTTCCATTCAACTGACAATAATAAACTTCAAAAAGAAATTACTCCTTCGGAAACAATATCGTATGTGTACTTAAAATAATTAATAAAGTTCTATCTAAGATTTTGTGATAGATATATAGGAGTTCGAACGTCAAAACAAAGATGGCTAAGGTGTTTTATGGCTGTTGCTGTTTTGATCGGAGTAATCGTTCCTTTTATTCCAATAATCATTGCCGTAACGAATAAGACAAATATGACAAAAATATCAACAAGAGAAACAACAACAACAACAACAACAACAACAGCAACTACTACTACTACTACAACAATAACAACGGCGACGATGCCAACAACGACAGCCGAACCAGGTTAACAATCGCTCTAAAATCTTCTTCATTAAGTACTTTGTTAGTTACTCACGAAATAATTCTTTATCTTGTATATCTCTAAATTTGTGTAATCTTATAATTATTTTCTTTCGTTTAGTTTGGATAATCAAAGGAAATATGAATAATTCACGGGCTAGCCATACAGCATCTGTATTACCAAATGGATGCGTAATAGTTGTCGGTGGATCTGCTGATGGTATCTATCTGCATACAGCTGAATTATATGATCCGTTAAATGATATTTGGAGTTATGCAGGACAGATCAGTGTCGCACGAGAGGATCACACAACATCAACATTAAACAATCAAAAAATATTAGTTAGTGGTGGATATAATGGTGTGGCTGTCAGAAATGTTGATTTATATGATCCATCAACGAGTATTTGGACCAGTGTTACAAATATGAATGTCGCACGACAAGATCATAGAGCAGTCACAATATTGAATGGAAATGTTTTAGTTATTGGTGGATACCATAGTGATACTCTTAAGAGTGCTGAGTTATATGATGTTTTAACAAATACTTGGACAACTGTAGCTGATTTGAATTATGCTCGAGAGGATCTTTCTGCATCGGTACTAAACAACGGAACAGTCTTAATTGCTGGTGGAATGAAGTCAAATTCTCTTGATAGTGCTGAGTTGTATGATCCATTAACAAATATGTGGACAGTAACAGGAAATTTAAATATGGCACGTAGTCATCATACGGCATCTGTATTACAAGATGGAAAAGTCTTAGTTGCTGGTGGTCAGAACAAGGGCTATAGATTGAATAGTGCCGAATTATATGATTCACTAACGGGCATCTGGACATTAACAGGAAATATGAATAGTATCCGATGTTGTCACACAGCATCAGTCTTACCAAACGGAAAAGTATTAGTTACTGGTGGATATAGTCGTAGTATTTATTTAGATACTACCGAAATATATGATCCATTAACCGGTATTTGGACGACGGGACCAACGATGAATTTTTCTCGACGCTTTCATACTGCATCTGTCTTAAAAAGTGGAAAAGTACTAGTTACTGGCGGAGAGAGTCCGCCTAGTTTGAAAAGTACTGAATTATATTAACACTAGTCCTCTCATACTCTTTTACGCACTAAAATAACAATTTAAGCTTCTGTAAAATGATTTTCTCGGCTATAAGGTTACTATGTATCTTGACAAAAAGACGCTATTGTTATATTAACCTTGATAGAAATATACGAACAGTATGTTAATTCTTTATGTAGAACAATCAATAGAAAAAATTGCTTTACACAATGTTCATTACAAAGAAATGCAGAGCAATTATATCATTTATTTGAAGTTTTTCTGTCTATAGCTGTTTAACACATTGAACATGGTTTTCGCTTGCTTTGTACAGAACCATTATCCGATTTTTGTGAATCTCTTTTCGATGCGGGATGACCAGCGATAAACAAAGCATTTTGTATATCGTTATGCAGAAAATTTGAGATTTTTGAACGACAATAAACGTATTATTAGACTAAGTTTGAACTCCACTAAAAAAATCGTCGTTGACATCTTTTATTTTCACTCTAAACCGGATTGCTCGATTTCTATAAGATAAAAACATTAAAAACATTTATTACTGTATATTAGTGGTACATTTGATCGACAGTATCAACAGCTCCCTTGGTTTTATTATAATCCGAAATAGTCACTATGGTTTTCCAGTCTTGTCGTCTACCTGATTATCGTGATGTTTCGAAGAAAGTATATACAATACAAAACTCAAAAATTCCTCATCGATCAATTTCAATAACACTCATTAGCACTAGTATTCTGTATTATAACACGGAGACCATCGGCACTTTGTTATGGTCTCTTTTATAACGATCTTTTTGAAACTGTTTGGGGTCGTCTTATCATAAATATCTTTGACGCGCTTTCATATACATATTCAATCATCGATTTTCCTGTCTATCTCATTACGTTTGGTGAATCTTCTCGTTTATTAACAAGAAATTGAATTACTTCAGCAATTGCTACACAAAATATATTGGATCCTGTTGCATAATTTCGTTCCCAGCACCTGATTCTGATCATATTGGAAAGAATTTATTGGTTATTACGACTAATTTTTATGTAGTTTTATTGTAAACTGGCACCTCATACTAAAAAGATAATATTGAATAATGTTACTTAGATTTAATAGAAGTATACTATTTTTTCGAAAGGTTTTACAAAAAAAGTCTAGATTTAAACTGAATTAGACGTAGTTATAGACATCACGTGTTTGTTTCTAAGATGCTAGTTTATTGTTACTCAGGATATTCGGACAAGATTGTTTTCAAAAGGAAAGAAGAAAATTCAAGTCGAAATATCTAACATATCTGGAATATCGGGGTGTAGTATGAATTATACAGTATACTATTTTGCAGTTCACTTTCACCAACGGGTAAGTCATGCTATAATGAAAGATTTGACTTTCAAACAATAAAAAGTGACATTTTCATGTGTTAGATGGCTTATACCACTTCGCGTTTTCCCTTGATTCTTTAAATATAATATTACGAAGTAAGTTCATATTAATCTTAATAATGATATCCTTGACGTTATTCTGTAATCAACCTCATCCCGTGTTTTATATGCTTCGATTATTTGATTCAAAAGAAATGGAATTCTGCAGGTAGGTAGGTAAAAACAATGATCTCATGCTTCGCCGACAAGGTAATTATATGTGCATATACCGATGAACAGAAGTAAAGAAATATTTTCATCAGATTCACCCGGAAAAAATTATTAAGACATTTCTTTTCTTATAATTCTACAGAAAACATCATTTCCTATCAAAACATTTTCACAGCTTGTTACATAAAAATGGCGATGAGTGGAAACATCTCTACCTCTATAGATGCATCTTCATATTTAAGTGATATAACTTATTTGGGTTATTACAGTTTATCAATGGTCATTCTTGGTTCAATATTTAAATTATTGACATTCATAAACTTGTGCCGACCAGCATTTCGAAATACAAATGCACGACCGACAATACATTATATGCGTGTATTAGCATTGATTGATTTATTCGCAATGTATGGATGGAATCTTGACAATTACTTAGGCCTCGTACAAGGTTTTACGTTTTATTCATCGTACACAGTTGCATCATGTAAAGTTTTCAGTTTTCTCAATTATTTTACGAATGAAGCTTCTGCATGGTTACATGTATTTATCTGTTTTGATCGATATTTATTTTTGAGTCGTACACAACCCAACACTTGGTTTAATCGATCAAAGAGTGTTTTAATTATCATTGGTTGTGTTATAGGAGTTTTTATTCTTGCTAACTTACATTTTCTAATATCTGTTTGTTATGAAGATGATAATGGAAAAATCAACACTGGATCAAAATTTTATCAAGTTTTTCCATTATATAATCAAATATATGCACTTATTTCTAGTGTTATTCCATCTGTGGTTATGATGACATTCAGCTGTGTCTCAGCATATTATCTAAGTCAATTAAAGCAGACAAGTACGATACAAAATTCGAAAATTCGTCATCGTGCTATATCAATCACACTTATAAGTACAAGTCTCCTCTTCGTTATAACTTCTGCACCTACGCCAATTTTTTATGGCTTCTTTTATGATGATCTTTCGAAAACAGTTTTAGGTCGCCGTGTTCTGAATATTTTTGACACACTTTCATATACATATCCTATCATAGATTTTCCTATCTATCTCATTACATTTACTGAATTTCGACGTGAACTTATTCGTTTATTAATACGCAATCGAGTTATTTTACCAATTGCTACTGAAAATACACAACGCCCTGTTCCTCAAAATCGTGCACAAAATATTTCGACCGCGCGTAATTTTTAAAAGAATTAAAATATTTTCCTTGTTTTTTTTTCGGTAAATACAATCCTTTATAATCGATTTCCTATTCTCAACACTTCATATATGCGCACAATGAGTGAAATTTAAAGACAAAAGTCAGTTTTTGAATCTTAACAATTTCTGACACAATATGTTAACTGAAAATTATCAACATACTTTAATGCATTTAATATTCTTGAAAATTATGCGTTGAAACAAATAGATATTTTTATATCGTATACAAAGAACCTATGTATTCATTCTATTCATGATAAAAAAAGAAGTTCAGCTTTGTCTTATCATGTCGTATTTGTAAATAAAACTTTACTTCGTGATTCGTAAGATAAATTCTTATCAAATTGAAGCTTCTCGTCTCTCATTTTCAGTAAAATTCTTCCATACTGATATGAGGATTTTATTAACTGTTGTATTGATATCAAAGTTCTCTCCGTAGTTTCAGATGCTTTAAATATTTGTTTGTTGTGAAAATGGTAATAGACAAATTAGCAAGGACTTTAAATTCAATCTACCTATTTTGTATTATATATTCAATTCGATCTATTTGTTTGCAATATAATTCCCTCTTTACTTATAATATTCAGGACTATTTAAATGTACTAATTAGATAATCTGCGGCATACAAATATACAGTAGAAGATTCAAAAATTACTTATCGTGCTATATCAATCACACTTATAAGTATTAGTGTTCTCTTTATTATATAACACGTACATCCTCAGAGTTCTTTTACGTGTTCCGTTTATAATGATATTTCAAGTACTGTTCTGAGATCATCGTGTTATAAATACCTTTAACACACTTTCATATACGTATTCTAACGGGTGCGCCTGAAATAATGGCGGTCTTAGTATATTAATTATAGTTTCTCTTGGTTATGTCTCTTCTAACTGGTTCTTTCACCAAAAGATGCACCGTCAGATTCTCTGCAAGGTGATCATGACACATACTTCTAAAGTAAGTTGGTGAAAGAATTAGAAAGTACTTATCGAAGACATAAAAAATGTCGAACTTTTAATGGTAATGAACATTTGTGTCTCTTTTTTACGGGCAAACAGTGCGGTGACCGTGAGGGAAAAATATAAAACAAGATGCAGCGCGAAAAGTTCTACCAGATGTACATCAGGTTATGTTTTATAAACATAAACTTTACAGGCAAAACTTTGTGAGGCGAATTTCCTATGATTCGAATAAAATCATCTTTTGGAGAACTGCAAATTAAAACTTTCTTCTTTACTTTTCTGTTCCGTAATATATTCAGTTAAAACAAAACGAAACATACCACAAAATGCAACGTCAAAAACTCTATATTTTGCAGCGAATAGTTCCCCTTAAATATGGATCTTCTATTCTTAAAATAAGTAAAATTTAACTACACGAAAAATGCTCTGATCGAAAATCCAGTGCTCAGACTTCTGGTCATTTTAGGAACCGATCGCTATGTATATAAAATTTCATTTTGTATGTGTCATGATCACCTTACAGGGAATCTGACGGCGCATCTTTTAGTGAAAGAACCAGTTCGAAGGGACATAACCAAGAGAAACTGTAATTAATATACTGAGACCGCCATTATATCTGACGCACCCGTTATTATAGATTCTCTAATTCATCTCATTATGTTTTCTTTGAATTCCATTGTGAATTCATTCGTTTACTAACATGCCATCGTACTATGTTATCACGTCCTACATAAAATACTTAGCATTTTGTTGGAAAATTTCATTACCGAAATATTTCGAACGCACATTATTTCTAAGAAGAAAGCATAAAACTGAAAAAGTGTAATCTTTTCTTTACTCTTGAAGTGTAAACATTCATCAGTTTCATCATATGAATACTATATACGGCGCATATACATAGAATACTCACAGCATATTAACTTCTAGAACGAAGACAACAACAACCACTACCACTCGGACCAAAGGAAAAAAACGAAACCAACCCGTATCTCCATTCATCATCAACGCAACCGACCAGAGACGTATCACTCCTCTAGGAACGCAATATAACCGCATGCTGTACTGTCATTTTCCATCACGCCTCACATGTGACCGAAACTTTGCTCTATTGTTCGCTCCTAATGATATTAGTAAATTGTTTCGACGGTCGGCTCGCTGCCTTTCCATTTGATACACTTTTCGTCTGAAACGTCTCTTGAACAAGGACGAAGTCGCTATCATGGTAGCTGTACTCTCACTCTTGAAACGTCTCGGTGCATTCGTTCTTTTTCGACGAACATTTTCCGATAAACTTTGATTGTGTGAAAGTCCGTATACTCTGTTGAACTCTCATGTGCCCTATTTGGAATAATAAAATGTTAAGTATATTTTTCAGTATGACGGTATCCCACAAATGTGGTATTTATTTGAGAGTGAAAAGAAATGAGAAGAAGAAAACGAAAATAGGAAACAGATAACTACTTAAAAGTATTCAGCTTGTGTAAGTTACATAGTGTTCATGTCGATGGCGGTTTTATTACTGTAAAAACCATTGAATGAACTCGTCTGTCTCCTTTCGTTCAGGAAAGTGTCTGCAGTTAGCGCAATCATAGGTATGAAGTTTTGTCCCTCCTCGATTTTGCTTGTTATGCCATTGCTCTTTCTCTTGCATGATTGGCTGTCTTCACAATTCCAAGAGTGTTTATGCCGAACGCCGCGAACATGCGAGTACCATACGAAAATCTGAACGCTCCGACGCATTTGCCACTCCTACTGATCGCCTCTGGCAGCGAGACCGACGAGTACGAACTTGTACTTCTCAGCACATAGCTCGAAGAGATGAACGAGTTGCTCGCCATTGTCTTTGTTTCCTTGAGACACCTTCCGGTATGAAGTAGTAGCCGGATTTTTGTATATTCTTCAGATGTCGAAAGGGCAACTGATCAAGACCGTTAACGCAGCGCGTTGTTAAAACTAAATAGAAAGAGATTTTTTCTGTTTTGCTACTATGTTTTCGTAAAGGACCAAACTCGGCAGATATAGTGGAGGGATAGCAGATTTTGTTCTTCTCATTGAAGTAAAAGAAAGTCTTTGGTTGGATAGTGTAGTATGAAACTTTTAGCAGCAACAATACAAACTCGGTCGTATCAGACAGTAGAAAGCACATTGAAGCAAATGTCTTCATTTTGTTAGCAAAAGAGAGAACTAGTATCTGTGGCACCCATACATTCAGCTACCGCTCGCTTCTTTTTATGACCGTCGTGGAAAAAGATTAAGTGAAGAGAAGACGAGCGAAATCTTCTTCATAGATGTATTGATTCTCTGACATCTTTCTTTTTGTTAACGATGATGTCGGCAAAACTTTCCCCATATAGACAGTTATGGTATCTTTCTTCTGTCTTGTCCAAGCAGCAAATTAATATCTATCTCGTCGATATTGCTGGAAAAGTCTCATCACGATAATTGTATCACTTTGACCTTAGCTTGGTATTGATTAAGTCCCGTAGAAATTCAGGTAAAGAGTTTAAACGTATAAGAGCATCTCCCACATTCATCCTTTAGTAGATTATAATGTAAAGCATAAAAATTTTCATTTACTTGAAAATTTTAAACAATACCCATGACGTTGCCCTTGAGCGACTTTGTTTTTTAGAAAGTAATACATCAACATTATCAATATATTGGTTGTTAATGTAAACTACATTGATGGGTATATCTGAACTATTCGCTTACTTTGCTGCTTCGCGTTCTACACAATCGATTTTCATGAGTCTTTGATTCGTATCATTAGGCGTGGCATCATCTATTAGTGTTGTGTTCATAATAGCCTTTCTAATTCCCTATTTTTCTTTAAACTCCAGTGTAAGCATATTGAAATGAAATGGTCAATTCACTTTGGTTAACACCTTTTTAGTGCCGTATCGACGATAAAATGGATTGGACGTTCTATGGGTACTTCTATATCTTAGCGTTGATTCAAATACTTTCTTTAATTCTCTTTTGGATATGTAATAAAGAGTATAGTATTATCCAAATAAATCCTCAAGTGGTCAATGAACACTAATTTATAACTAAAATTTATCACTTCATTTGTTTAATAAATATAAATATGTTATGAAATTAAGTTCAGTAAAAATATATCATTTAGCCGAACATTTTCATTATTAAATATCATACAATCGATGAACAGATTTCAGTGTCTATCGGAAGGACAACTATCATATTATCAAAATTAACTGTTCCATAATTATAGATCACCTAACACAACGAGAACTAACGTATGCGAAACCTATAAGTACAAAGTACTCTTGTATTTAGACAGATAAGGCAAAATTGCTGATGATAGTGTAGTTTTTCTATTATTTGAATTATATAGTTAACTTTGTCAATATCATGACAACAAATTGTCCTAGTGCTTGACTATCACTTTGGATTTCATAAATTTATCGTTGGAGAAATTTTTTGTTTCCCCAAAAATCTTCCGGGATGAAAAATGTTGAAGACAAACATTGAAATCGAGATGAATAGAGCATCGAATATATAAATTGGCCATTCGTTCGTCTGCAAATATCCTGTTCTATCTTCACTAAATTCAATCACACGAAATATCGATCGACCCTTCAAACGAATCTCATACAAATCCAGTGCTCTTCCATATGTTGACTCACCAGGATCAATGCACAATCGATATACAAACTCATCATTAACCATTTCCATTTTCCGTTTTTACCATTTTGAATTGTATCAATATGAAAATGAACTGCGCAAATGATAAAGAATAGAAATGTGACGACTTGAACAATTAAACCAGCCAACAAAATATACTTTCCCGTAGTTAAATTACTTGATTTACTCTGATTCAATAAAATAATCGCTCCGATAACCTTGAAATTCATCAGAATGTTTTATCAAAGATTCAAATCGATTTACTTGAATAATAAACGAAATAATATCGCAGATAACGAATATAATCGCGATCCATTTCGCAGGAATCAACGATGGATGATCAACAAAACGAATTCTATATAAAATAGAAAATGATTTTGAAAATGAAGAATGTGTTCTTACATTTGACCAAGTATTATATAGACACTCGCGGCGAGAAATATCGGAGCTAAAACTAGAAATGCATATTGTGCTGAATAGAGATTGATATTGTATGAATCTTGACGAGATGCTAAGCGAGTTGAATAACCTATTATCTCAGCTAAATAGAAAAAGATGTTTGTTTTTTGTTTGAAATGAATTTCATTTTTTCTTACCGACTCCGCAAATAACGATCGGAATGAGATACCATGTTTTGTATCGAATTAGTTGATAAATATGACATATTGTGACGAGAAGAAAAACTAATAAGAATATCGATGCAGCGGCGATTGACGGATCATACTGAAATGGAGTTTGAGAATCTAAGAGATAAAACCAAAAAAGGATTATTTTCGGATCTAATAAACAATATTTACAATCAACAGTTGACATAATTCCGATCGGTTAAATCAAAAAAGAAACATTCGGTTGCTAGTTATTGTAAAAGTGCGTTGCATTAAGTAAATCATTCAATCGAGTGTTCTTAGCATTAAATGCAAGGTCAAATGAAAAAAGTACATTTATCGTTCTTCATACACTCACGATTTTCTTGGGCGACATGACGACAACGAGAAAAATCAATCGTGTTCTGTTCATTTTTAAAGCGTTATCAGATGAATTTAGAAAAAGAGTGTCTTTTCAGTAAAATACACATCTCGTCTCCATGATGAGTTCAGTGCAATTAAAGTGGTAGGTGTGCTTGTAAATTCTGGTATGTATTTACTGGATCTATCATGATACGGTTTGCTCCATAGTAATTCAATATCGCTCTTTCATACACAAGTCGATTTGCTATTATCTATTGATTGGCATTTCTTGGTGCATTATTATTGTTCGTGTAAAAATTTTTCAACGTTGCAACAAAGTCGGCACTGACATGTTCATCCAATGCAGCTGCTTTGCCTAAGTTTGATTTGATATAGTCATCGATAGTATAGCTATAACTAACTGGCTTGATGATTAAAACTACAGAATATAAACGTGTAATAAAATCTTGAACTTGTTTTTTCTGGAAGTCAGAATCGACTATTGTGCATGCTGTTGGTCCTAAGATTTCGGAGTTTTGACCAGTCTTGTCTTTTCCAAAGGTAGTAGCAGTAAAGTGACTTCAATGCACTACCAGTTTGTCCTTTAAACGACATAGCTGCCACGCCTGATTGTACTTCCACAGTCCAGTCATATTGTGCAAATAATTTTCATACTTGTCTGGTTATTGCTGCTTGAATTCCAAGACTTGCTGAGAAAATTCCCTGCTGCACCGGAATTAATTGCTTTTTTTTGCATAGTCCCGGCAGTTAAAATCTCACTGTCGTACGATTGAATAGCACCAAGATTACCTTCATTACGTGACATAGCAACAATTATCGCCTTTTCATCAGTCGTGACTTGATCAGTGTCGATAAATTGATCCCAAAGAGAAAATGTTGATCATGGAAGGCTATCCCAGCGAACTGGACCATATGTACTAGAATGTCTCGTCGTGGTGAATTGATTACTCAGAACACGAGTGTTGTCAGTATCTAAACGAATTCGAAATCTTCATGGTACGAAAAAATGTATAGACTTCGATCTGTTGATAGCTGTAACTTTCGAATTGTTCTAATATACTGTGACAAAACATTTCGAATGAGGATTTCTCCTTGCTTAGCAAATGAAGGCTATTTTAACGCACGTGAAATATCAGCAATGTATAATGTTTCATTGTCATCGACAATAACTGTATTCGGATAATATACAATCTCACTGCATTAACAGTGGAATAGTTGATAATGTTCCCTTGAGCAACTGTAAGTCCAGTATTCGAACCTTTTACAAAGTTTTGTATACGGTGGTTGTTTGTATCAACTACATAGATGTTTTCTGCTTTGTTCACATACAAACCAGATGGGTAAGAGAGCTGATTTTCAGCATCGCCAATGCCTTGGCCGTCCACTACAATTCTCCTTCCTGGTTTTCTGATGCCCATTTAATAACCGAAGGATTTGAACTACTTATCAATATGTGGATGTTACGTTTGTCGTCGACGGCCAATGCTTCTCCGAGAAGAAACCAAGAATCTTTGAAATTATTATAACTGAATAGTGAAATAAATCATAAAAACATAACCGTGTTAAATAACTAAAGCAAACCAACTCAAGTGATAAACCGCTTTTCTTGACTTCATTTATTGATTAAATAATACAGATTACAAGTTTTTTTTTGTTCAGAATAGTTTAAATGAGGTATAGTTTAGAAAATTCCACCACCATTTGTCGGTGCACCACCACTTCCGAGTCCACCACCAAATAAATCTCGATTGATTTCATTGTTCACAAATTGATCCACGCCAGTTTGAACAGTACCACCCACCAAACCTATATCAATAGACAGATATGCCTTCGAATGATCACACAAAACGGAATAACTAACCGCTACCGCCGGGAACAACATCGTTGATTACACGATCAGCCATATTGTCGACGAAGGCTTCTTCGGCATTTCGAACAAAACTCATCTTGATTTGATTTGTGTTTTTGAAAATGTTGTGCAGTGAATATAAATCATCGAGTTTATATACCTTTGTGTAAAGGTAATAGTGGATAAAGAAAGAACGAAGCCTATGGTTAAAAATATTTCTAACAACGCCCATGTTGATTCATCCAAGCAATAGGGTGAGAACGGAGAAAGTACATCGATACATAGGTTCACTTCTTACACGTTGTTTATACCGATGTTTTCATCGAGCAGTATAATTGGAGCTTATGTTTCGCATACCGTTTAATAGAAAATTTATTTGTAAAAAAATCCTTCAAAAACTCAAATTACAAATAAAGTAACTGCAGACGAAACGTCATAAAATATAAGTTCACGAGACGAAATATGAATCACCAGTGTCGAGATTTCGTTAAAGAAATTCACTTACCGCGGCTTTCTCAATATCACCCAGAATTCCATTATCACCACCACCTGAGTTAGAATTCAAAGCCCCAGCTGCGAATTTTTCCACATCACCCAACAGTCCTCCACTACCACCAGAATTGGAGTTCAATGCTGTTTCCGCAACTTTTTCGATATCACTAACTAATCCACTTGTATTACCAGCAGTATTATTAGAATTGAATCCTCCTTCCACAGCTTGTTCAACTTCACCTAATATTCCACCTCCTATCTGTACAAAATCATTTACAGTAGTTTCTAAAGTATTCTCTAGTCATTTTTATTAAACTTACCCCTTGATTGCCCGCGTTAGAAGCACCACCTTCATAAAAAAGAGGAAACATTTGCCGTCGAGTATTGAAGAAAAGCGAACTCACCGGAATTGGATTGACTATGGCTAGTCACTTCTTTTTCAATTTCCTTTTTGAAAAAATCTATATACAAAAAACTTGTTTACATATAGTTCATTGATAATTGTAGTTTATTTGAACGTACTCATCTTTTTCTATTGATTGACAAATTAATTGTTTTCCAAATGAATGATGGTAAAAGTAAATTTGCCGTTGTATATAACAGCTTCTTTTCTGTAGTAGAAAGGTCGCCGAAAAAGTACATGAAAGTTTTCTTTTACAAAGATTGTTTTTCCTTTTCTATTCTTTTCGACATGCAGAAGTTGAAATTTGAATTGAAATTTTCAAGTGCATCAGAAGCATTCGAGTTGGTAACCGAAGTAAAGCAGTGAGAGATCTCTTATCTGGATTGTTACAATGCAATAGACAGAGTGCATTATTGGACTAAATGGAACGTTCGAAATGCAGCTTCAATGCCATTGCAATGATACGAATGACAATCGAAAAATCTTGACTCGAAAAGTACTTTCTAATGGCTGTTTGCTTTCGACTTCTGTATAACGATTAGGCAATTATTGCATTTCTCAAAGAATATGATTAAGTGTGCGCATACCAAGGTGTTGAATTTCTTTATTGATTTAACGCATCGTATCAGATCAGTAAAGGGACTATTATTCTTTTCTCTTATAACATACGATCGAATCTATGTAAATACAAGAAACATAAAGATTTTTCTTTAGCTCATTTCTTACGCGGAACATCATTTGAAGAGTTCTATCAAAGTTTGATATGCTCAATATCCAAAGTACATTCCATCGGGAGGATTTTTCGGCAAGATGGCGATTGTGTTGATTCAAAATGTTCCCGTTAAGGTAATCCTAAGCAGAAGAGAAAACATTGAAGATTAAAATTATCGACCGATGTCAATACACATAAGTTCTTTAATGAAGTGGATATCATGCATATAGTCTGGTATAATGTGAAACGGTTCTGTCGATATTGAAGAAGTATTAGCAGTTCTGAAGACAAACGATTGTCATGCCAAAAACTACGCATTTCTTTCATGTACTTTTTTTTTATTCCTCTAACTCTGTCATGTTTTTCAAGATCGGATTACTGAATTGATAAAAAGAAGCATGATCTCAGTTTTTGTACCTGATTTTGTTAAACCAATGTTGTCGTCGCATCAGCAGCAACCAACGCAGATTTTAACAATCAAATTAAAGTCTATACGGTTGCTAATCTTAACCCGATTGAACTTTTGATGAAAAATTGGATGATCATTAGTCAATAATCTTGTATTTCGCTAATCATTTTTAACATACCAAACGTCTTTTCTCTTCGGGAAGGAAAGGACAACAAATAGCAAACAGTATTTGTTTCTTATCAACGTTTATTTGAAAATAAAACAACGCCATTCTAATCTCTTCTCTTGTAGAAATGATGTACCCATAAAAAGTACATTTGATCTGCAGCCACGCAGTGGAGAAATCTAAGATGAAGCAAATTTATCTGAACAAACATATATTGACAAATAGTACAAAAAATATATGAATATCCAAGTATAAATTACTTTATCAAAGTGCAATGTGATAATAGATTTCAAACATTTCACATCTGTTTTGGTATGAGAAATGTCTTAATGTATCGGATTATTTATGTTTTCGTTTTTTCTTGTAGTTCAATGGAAACAACGATTGTTTCACGATTACTATCGAAGTTAAAGGAAGAATATCCTTCCGAACAACCATTAGGCAGTTACATTTCTAAAGAACTTCAGTTCGAATCGATATTACAACTTTTACCTGGAAAGAATGATGAACATCGTCCCGCGATCTATTCTACCACTTTATCTGTGCTTTATACACACAAGAACATAAGAAATTTTATCGAAAATCAATTTAATTTGCATGAATTCCATATTCAATGTAATGATCGCGTCGGCATTCTTCTTCCCAATGGCACCGAACTTGGTCTTTGTCTTCTGGCCACTTGTTCCTATTGTACGTGNATAACGATCTTTTTGAAACTGTTTGGGGTCGTCTTATCATAAATATCTTTGACGCGCTTTCATATACATATTCAATCATCGATTTTCCTGTCTATCTCATTACGTTTGGTGAATCTTCTCGTTTATTAACAAGAAATTGAATTACTTCAGCAATTGCTACACAAAATATATTGGATCCTGTTGCATAATTTCGTTCCCAGCACCTGATTCTGATCATATTGAAAAGAATTTATTGGTTATGACGACTACTTTTTATATAGTTTTATTTCGAACTGGCACCTCATACTAAAAATAATGTTACTGACATTTAATGGAAGTATACTATTCTTTTGAAAGGTTTTACGAAAACCAGAGTCCAGATTTAAACTGAATTATACGTAGTTATAGACATCACATGTTTGTTTCTAGGATAGTTTATTGATACTCATGATATTCAGACAAGATTGTTTTCAGAAGGAAACAAGAAAATTCAAGTCGAAATATCTAACATATCTGGAATATCGTGGTGTATAGTACAAATTATACAATGTACTATTTTGCAGCTCACTTTCACCAACGGGTAAGTCATGCTATAATGAAAAATTTGACTTTCAAACAACAACAAAAATGACATTTTTTTGCGTTACATGGCTTATACTGCCTCGCATTTTCCCTTGATTCTTTAAATATAATATTATAACGTAAGTTCTTCTTAACCTTAATAATGATATCCTTGACGTTATTCTGTAATCAACCTCATCCCGTGTTTTATATGCTTCAATTATTTGATTCAAAAGAAATGGAATTCTGCAGGTAGGTACGTAAAAACAATGATCTCATGCTTCTCTGACAAGGTAATTATATGTGCACATACTGATAAACATAAGTAAAGAAATATTTTTATCAGATTCACCCAGAAAAACTTATTAGGACATTTCTTTTCTTATCATTTTACAGATAACATCATTTCCTATCAAAACATTTTCAGAGCTTGTCAAATAAAAATGGCAATGAGTGGAAACATCTCTACCTCTATAGATGCATCTTCATATTTAAGTGATATTACTTATTTGGGTTATTACAGTTTATCAATGGTCATTTTTGGCTCAATATTTAAATTATTGACATTCATAAACTTGTGCCAACCAGCATTTCGAAATACAAATGCACGTCCAACAATACATTATATGCGTGTATTGGCATTGATTGATTTGTTCGCAATGTATGGGTGGAATCTAGACAATTACTTAGGCCTCGTACAAGGTTTTACGTTTTATTCATCGTACACAGTTGCATCATGTAAAGTCTTCAGTTTTTTCAATTATTTTACGAATGAAACTTCTGCATGGTTACATGTATTTATCTGTTTTGATCGATATTTATTTTTGAGTCGTACGCAACCCAATACTTGGTTTAATCGATCAAAGAGTGTTCTAATTATCATTGGTTGTGTTATAGGAGTTTTTATTCTTGCTAACTTACATTTTCTAATATTTGTTTGTTATGAAGATGACAATGAAAAAATCAACACTGGATCAAAATTTTATCAAGTTTTCCCATTATATAATCAAATATATGCATTTATTTCTAGTGTTATCCCATCTGTGGTCATGATGACATTCAGCTGTGTCTCAGCATATTATCTACGTCAATTAAGACAAACAAGTACAATACAAAATTCAAAAATTCGTCACCGTGCTATATCAATCACACTTATAAGTACAAGTCTTCTCTTCGTTATAACTTCTGCACCTACGCCAATCTTTTATGGCTTCTTTTATGATGATCTGTCGAAAACAGCTTTAGGTCGTCGTGTTCTGAATATCTTTGACACACTTTCATATACATATCCTATCATAGATTTTCCTATCTATCTGATTACATTTACTGAATTTCGACGTGAACTTATTCGTTTATTAATACGCAATCGAGCTATTTCACCAATTATTACTGAAAATACACAACGCCCTGCCCCTCAAAATCGTGCACAAAATATTTCGACCGCGCATAATTTTTAAAAGAATTAAAATATTTTCCTTCTTTTTTTTTTCAGTAAATAAGATCTCTTATTATCGATTTCCTATTCTTTACACTTCATATCACAAGTTGGGGAATATGATTTTGCCGCGAAGTAGATTTCAAAAAATAAATAATTGATAACAAAATCGGAAGACACACATCTTATATTAACTGAATTTAGTATGAAAAACCTGTCCCTCTAGCAGTCCGACAGTATGGTGGGCCGTACATATGCTGGTATAGCGGTGCTAGCGGTATAAGGATATAGTGGTATCTACAATGTCAAGCTTGGAAATTGAAAATAATTATTCCTTACGGCCTCTGAATATCGCTCACACCACTATACCGCTATATCCTTATATCACAAGCACCGCTAAGCCACTATATCTTTATATCATTACATCCTTATATGGCTGTATGGCATATAGCTATACACAATACGGTACACAGATAAAGAGAATGGAGAAAATCGGTTGAATGAATTTGTATTTATCGCGAAGTAACCTTTTTGCCACCTTTGCAGCTAAAATATTGACACTGATTTGAATTTGCCACAAAATCAATTTCCCCATTAACTCAGAAAATAAGTGTCTTTTCACTAAAATACACATCTCGCCTCCATGATGAGTTCAATGCGATCAAAGTAGTACTTGTGCTTGTAAATTCTGGTATCTATTTGCTGGGTCTAACATGTTACGATTTGGTCTATAGTAATTAATTCAATATCGCCCTTTCATACACAAGTCGATTTGCTGTTGTCTATTGATTAGGATTTCTTGGTGCATTATTATTGTTCCTGTAAAAATGTTTCAACGTTGCAGCAAAGTCGGCATTGACATGTCCATCCAATGAAGTTGTTTTGCCTAAGTTTGATTTGACATAATCACCGATAGTATAGCTATAAACAACTGGCTTGATGACTAAAACTACAGAATTTAAACGTGTAATAAAATTTTGAACTTGTCTTTTCTGGAGGTTAGAATCGACTATTGCGCATGCTATTGGTCCTAAGATTGCGGAGCTTTGACCAGTCTTGTCTTTTCCAAAGATAGTAGCACTACCAGTTTGCCTTTTGAACGACATAGCCGCCACGCCGAACTGTACTTCCACGGTCCAGCCATATTGTACAAAGAGTTTTCTCATACTTGTCCGGTTGTTGTTGCTTGAATTCCAAGACCTGCTGAGAAAATTCCCCTGCTACATCGGAATTAATTGTTTCCTTTTTTTGCATAATCCCGGCAGTTAAAATCTCACTGTCGCACGATTGAACAGCACCAAGATCACCTTCATTGCGTGCCATAGCAACAATTATCGCTTTTTCATCAGTCATGACTTGATGAGTGTCGATAAATTGATCCCAAAGAGAAAATGCTGATCATGCGAGGCTACCACAGCGCGAACTAGACCATATACACCAGAATGTCTCGTCGTGGTGAATTGATTACTCAGAACACAAGTGTTGTCAGTATCTAAACGAATTCGAAATTTTCGTGCTATGAAAAATCGTATTGGCTTTAATCTGTTGATAGCGGTAACTTTCGAATTGTTCTAATGAGGATTTCTCCTTGCTTAGCAAACGAAGGCCATTTTAACGCACGTGAAATATCAGCAATGTACAATGTCTCATTGACATCGACAATAACTGTATACGGCGGTTGTTTGTATCTACTACATAGATGTTTTCTGCTTTGTTCACATACAAACCAGACGGGCAAGAGAACTGATTTTCAGCATCGTCAATGCCTTGACTGATAGCTACAATTTCTCCTTTCTGATTTTCTGATACCCATTTAATAACCGTAGGATTTGAACTACTTATCAATACGTAGATGTTAATTTTTTTGTCGACGAACAATGCAATCTTTGGATTTGTTATAACTGAATAGTGAAATAAATCATAAAAATATAATCGTGTTATATATCTGTCCAATATTGAAGGAAGTACAGAAAGAGGGCGAATATGATTTTTCTTCGATCATATCGCAATTATTCAATCACTTTAATTATATGACTACTAAAAGATGAAAAAGTGCACACTTTTTTGCAGTGCAGCTGTCACTATCATTAAATAGTGTGAAATAACTAAAGCAAACCAACTCAAGTGATAAACCGTTTTTCTTGGCCTCATTTATTGATTAAATAGTACAGATTACAAGTCTTGTTTTGTTCAGAATAATTTAAATGAGATATAGTTTAGAAAAATCCACCACCATTTGTCGGTGCACCACCACTTCCGAGTCCGCCACCGAATAAATCTCGATTAATGTCATTGTTCACAAATTGATCCACGCCAGTTTGAACAGTACCACCCACCAAACCTATATCAATATACAGATATGCCTTCGCATGATCACACAAAACGAAATAACTAACCGCTACCACCGGGAACAATATCGTTGATTACACGATCAGCCATATTGTCGACGAAGGCTTCTTCGGCATTTCGAACAAAACTCATCTTGATTTGATTTGTGTTTTTGAAAATGTTGCGTAGTGCATATAAATCATCGAGTTTATATACCTTTGCATATAGGTAATAGTGGATAAAAAAAAAGAACGAAGCCTACGGTTAAAAATATCCCTAATAACGCCCATGTTGATTCATCCAAGCAATAGGGTGAGAACGGAAAAAGTACATCGATGCATAGGTTCACTTCCTACACGTTGTTTATTCACCGATGTTTTTTTCGAGCAGTATAATTGGAGCTTATGTTTCGCATACCGTTTAAAAGGCAATTTATTTGCAAAAAAATTCTCCAGAAAATCAAATTACAAATAAAGTAACTGCAGATGAAAATTCATAAAATATAAGTTCACGAGGAGAAATATGAATCACCAATGTCGATATTTCATTAAAGAAATTCACTTACAGCGGCTTTTTCAATATCACCCAGAACTCCATTACCACCAGCACCTGAATTAGAATTCAAAGCCCCAGCTGCGAATTTTTCCACATCACCCAAAAGTCCTCCACTACCACCAGAATTTGAGTTCAATGCTGTTTCCGCGACTTTTTCTATATCACTAACTAATTCATTTGTGTTACCAGCAGTATTATTAGAGTTGAATCCTCCTTCCACAGCTTGTTCAACTTCACCTAATATTCCACCTCCTATCTGTGCAGAATCATTTCCAGTAGTTTCTAAAGTATTCTCAAGTCATCTTATCAAACTTACCCCTTGATTGCCCGCGTTAGAAGCACCACCTGCATAAAAAAAAGAGAAAAATACTTGTCGTCCAGTATTGATGAAAGGCGAACTCACCGGAATTGGATTGACTATGGCTAGTAACTTCTTTTTCAATTTCCTTCTTGAAAAAATCTGTGTACAAAAAACTTGTTTACATAAAGTTCATTGATGATTGTAGTTTATTTGAACGTACTCATCTTTTTCTATTGATTGACAAATTTAATGTTTCCAAATGGATGATGATAAAAGTAAATTTGCCGTTGTATATAACAGCTTCTTTTCTGTAGTAGAAAGGTCACAGAAAAAGTACATGAAAATTTTCTTTTACAAAGATTGTTTTTCCTTTTCTATTCTTTTCGACATGCACAAGTAGAAATTTGAATTGAAATTCTCAAGTGCATCAGAAGTGTTCGAGTTGGTAACCAAAGCAAAGCAAAGCAGTGAGAGATCTCTTATTTTGATTGTCACAATGCAATAGACAGAGTGCATTATTGGACTAAATGGAACGTTCGAAATGCAGCTTCAATGTCATTGCAATGATAGAAATGACAATCGAAAAATCTTCATCCGAAAAGTACTTTCTAATGGTTGTTTGCTTTCGACTTCTGTATAACGATTAGGCAATCATTGTATTCCTCAAAGAATATAATTGTGTGTGCGCATACCAAGGTGTTGAATTTCTTTATTGATTTAACGTATCGTATCAGATCAGTAAATGGACTACGACTCTTTCCTCTTAAGACATACGATTGAATCAATGTAAATATAAGAAACATAAAGATTTTCTTTTAGTTCATTTCTTACGCGGAACATCATTTGAAGAGTTCTAACAAGGTTCGATACGCTCAATACTCAAAATACATTCCATCGGGATCGGGAGGATTTTTCGGCAAGATGGCGACTGTATTGATTCAAAATGTTCTCGTTAAGATAATCCTAAGCAGAAGAAAAAACATTGAAGATTAAAATTATCGACCGATGTCAATACACATAAGTTCTTTAATGAAGTGAATATCATGAATATAGTCGAGCATATAATGTGAAACGGTTCTGTCGATATTGAAGAAGTATTAGCAGTTATGCAGACAAACGATTGTCATGCCAAAAACTACGCATTTCTTTCATGTACTTTTTTTTTATTCCTCTAACTCTGTCATGTTTTTCAAGATCGGATTACTGAATTGATAAAAAAAAGCATGATCTCAGTTGTTGTACCTAATTTTGTTAAACTAATGTTGTCACCACATCAACAGCAACCAACGCAGATTTTAACAATCAAATTAAAGTCTATACAGTTGCTAATCCCAACTCGATTGAACTTTTGATGGAATATCGAATGATCATCATTCGACAATCTTGTATTTCACTAATCATTTTTAACATTCCAAACGTATTTTCTCTTCGGGAAGGAAATAACAAATATCAAACAGTATTTGTTTCTTATCAACGTTTATCCGAATGTAAAACAACGCCATTCTAATCCCTTCTCTTGTAGAAATGATGTACTCATAAAAAGTACATTTGATATGCAGCCACGCAGTGGAGAAATCTAAGATGAAGCAAATATATCTGAACAAACATAAATTGAGAAATAGTAAAAAAAAATACATGAATATTCAAGTATAAATTACTTTACCAAAGTGCAGCGTGATAATAGATTTCAAACATTTCACATTGGTTTTGGTATGAGAAACGTCTTTATGTATTGGAATATTTATTTACGTTTTCGTTTTTTCTTGTAGTTCAATGGAAACAACGATTGTTTCACGATTGCTCTCGAAGTTAAAGGAAGAATATTCTTCTGAACAACCATTGGGCAGTTACATTTCTAAAGAACTTCAGTTCGAATCGATATTACAACTTTTACCTGGAAAGAATGATGAACATCGTCCCGCGATCTATTCTACTACTTTGTCTGTGCTTTATACACACAAGAACATAAGAAATTTTGTCGAAAATCAATTTAATTTGCATGAATTCCATATTCAATGTAATGATCGCGTCGGCATTCTTCTTCCCAATGGCACCGAACTTGGTCTTTGTCTTCTGGCCACTTGTTCCTATTGTACGTGTATCCCGATGAATTCGTCCAGTACAATCGATGAAATCAAGCACGATATTGGAATACTGAAAATCAAAGCNCTTTATACACACAAGAACATAAGAAATTTTATCGAAAATCAATTTAATTTGCATGAATTCCATATTCAATGTAATGATCGCGTCGGCATTCTTCTTCCCAATGGCACCGAACTTGGTCTTTGTCTTCTGGCCACTTGTTCCTATTGTACGTGTGTGCCGATGAATTCGTCCAGTACAATCGATGAAATTAAGCACGATATTGGAATACTGAAAATCAAAGCTCTGATCGTTGACGTCGATCTGGTCAACATCGAACAATTGAAAAGCATGGTGATGATATTAAAAGTAAAGAAAACGGAAGAATCATTGCAATTGCAATTGGTATCGAACATAAGTGAAACAATTCCGAGTGTTTCAGAAAAGGTTCTGAATGGTCCACAAGATACTTGCCTGCTTCTACAGACATCCGGAACAACTGGTCAAAAGAAAACTGTCCCGTATAACCTGAAAACATTAATGGTTGGCACTCTTTGTGTGGCATTCTCATGGCAATTGACTCCAACAGATTGTAATCTAAACATGATGCCTCTTTTTCATGTCGGTGGTATCGTACGAAATGTATTAGCACCAATACTCACCGCTGGCAGCGCCATCCTTTGCAGTGCGTTTGATCCAAACCTATTCTGGGATATTCTAAAAACACCGCAATGTCCAGTGACATGGTACTATGCAGTACCAACAATGCACTCTGCTATTCTAACAATAAAAGAACAACGACGAGCAGATGGAGGCAATACAGATAGTCATCTACGTATGATTTGTAACGCAGGTGGAGGTCTTCTTCCATCGATGGCAGAGCAACTACAAAAAGCTTTTAGTACTGTTATCCTGCCATGTTATGGTATGACTGAATGTATGCCCATATCGTGTCCTTCTGTTGACTATCAACTCAATCGACGTGGCACGTCGGGAATGGCTTGTGGCCCTGAAATAGAAATTTTTGACGATGAGAAACAAAAAATAACGGAATCAAACAAAGTCGGACGAATTTTTATTCGTGGTCAACCGTTATTCGATGGTTATGAAAACGTACCGTGGTCTTCAACATTTACAGAAGATGGTTGGTTTGACACTGGTGACATGGGTTATCTCGATGACGATAAATTTCTCTACGTCACTGGACGAACGAAAGAGGTGATAAACCGTGGTGGTGAAATCATATCACCACCCGAAATTGAAGAGGCCATCATCCAGAATCCTCGCGTTCGTCAAGCAATGGTATTCTCAGTCGGACATGATGTTTTACAAGAAACCATCGGTCTTGTTCTGGTCCCATCCAATGCTGCATCACGTATTGGCTTAATCGAACTTCAGAAATTTCTGGCTAACTTATTACATCCATCGAAATGGCCGCAATTGATTGTATATATGAACGATTTACCAAAGAACCGAACGAACAAACCAATACGTATTGGTCTAGCAGAACGTCTTCAATTGAAAGAACTGAAAGACTCAGATTCGATCAATAGTCGTCTCTATGAAGCAACAGCACCACCGATGACCGCACCAGCCAAGTCGATCATTCCCTGTCAACACGTGTCGCTCGATTCCGAGCAAGTCTACGCAGTTCTCAATTCACATCCATTGATTGCTGATTTGGAATTGGTACATTCGGTTGCCTACGTCGTCAGTAGCGAATTATTGGAAAAGGAAGCGATTTGGGATTATCTAGATACACATTTACACGATTATCTTCGTCCAAAGGACATAATTGTTGTGGAACAGATCCCAAGAGATGATAACAACAACGTCATTTTAGATTTGCTCNATTCCGAGCAAGTCTACGCAGTTCTCAATTCACATCCATTGATCGCTGATTTGGAATTGGTAAATTCGATTGCCTACGTCGTCAGTAGCGAATTATTGGAAAAGGAAGCGATTTGGGATTATCTAGATACACATTTACACGATTATCTTCGTCCAAAGGACATAATTGTTGTGGAACAGATCCCAAGAGATGATAACAACAACGTCATTTTAGATTTGCTCACCCCGAACAATTCAGCAAATCAGCAGTCGAAGTGTCCATTGGAGGGTGCTCTAATCAAAATATTTTGCGAGATTTTAGATTTAAAAGACAGCACAGAAACTTCAATGAATTCAGAAACGGATTTTTTTCAAGTCGGTGGTAACTCGCTGAAAGCCGGTCTTCTAGTCAACAAAATCCGTAAAGAATTTGGTATAAGCATAGCAATAATGAAAATGTACGTAAACAGAACAATTGGCTCACTTTGTACACTGATTCGCGAACAAGATCCAAATATCGTTACAAAGCTGGCGAAACAACAGCAAGAACAAAGTAATTTCACTGATCATTTCCCTGCACAAATGTCATATTGGTTTATGTTCGTATTCTTATTTCAGATGTTCCTGAAAATGATTCTCGGAAGAGAACGACACGTGCTGACGCCTACAAGTTGAGTCTTGAAGTTAAATCCAAAAGCTCGACACGCTTGACCGCACTGTTCGTTCAGTCATTATCGTTAATTTTATTAAGACCCGTTTACATCGCTGTGCACTGGTTTTCCTTTGTTGTTTTTCTAATTCTATACAGAAAATATTGGAAGGCAGTTGAACAATGGAAACAGGTACTTTCATTGGTACTCGCCATACTTTCCGCCAGATTGTTATTGAATCTCTTGATACTTCCCGGGACTTGTTTATTGGTCAAATGGCTTGTCATAGGGAAATACCGGCGTGGACATTATCCGCTTTGGGGGCAATACTATCTTCGATGGTGGTTTGTTGATCAAACAATCAAAGTGTTTGGATTCGGCGCGTTTGAATGGCATGAGAATCTCCGTATTATCTTTCTCAAACTAATGGGTGCGAAGATTGGCAAACAGGTGACGATCGATCCAAATGCGCAGATTAGAGAATTCGATCTGGTTAAAATCAAATCCAATGTAAAGATTCAACGATGTATAATCAGTCCATTTACACTTAGTACGGGTTATATGGTGTTAGCACCGATTCAAATCGGTCATAATTGCTCGATCGGGTTGAACACACGACTTTCTCCGGGTGCTACCGTGCTGGATGGTATGCAGCTCGGGCCATTGTCATCATCACATGAAATGGATTTTACAACTGCTAATAAACAAGGGACAGTAACATCCAAAGCAGTAATTTTACACTTTGCGATTAAATATCTGTTCGGCTGGCCGGTGGTGTTGATCGTCACAGTCCTGTCGTATGCTCCTTGGATTGGTGCGATATATCTTTTATCGGACCAAATATCTTCTCCTGGTCGATCAAATGATTTTATATCGGTGGTTTACTTCTTCGCTGATGGAAAACGTGTTGGATTCCATATACTAGCAGTCATAGCACGGGATATCCTTCGCCCATTTATCTATGTCGTTGGTTGCATTCTTGTTAAATGGATCATTATTGGTAAATTTAGAGAACATAGTCAAGTAGAGCAAAAACGTACATTTATGACTAATCTCAAGCAACAAATTCATCTTTTAAAACATTGGCTAATGAAAGAATTGTTACCCGGTGGCGATTTCAATGGGCTTTCTCATTTAATAGGTACGCACTATGAATTGATCAGTGTTATCTATCGTCTTCTCGGTGCTCGGATTGGAAAACGTATCTATTGGCCTGGGTCCGGTTTGAACACGTACGAATACGATCTTCTCACCATCGAAGACGACGTTGTTTTTGGTTCACGTTCTTACTTTTCATGTTCAAATGGTGACAAAACACAAAGTAACAGAATTACCATTCAAAGTGGCGCGATGATTGCTGATCGATGTGTCCTATTGCCTGGTGTGACTGTTGAAAGAAATACGGTTATGGGCAGTGGCAGTCTGGGAAAAGAAAACACGACCTATCCGTCTGGTTCAATATGGATCGGATCGAAGGAAGGCAATGCTGTATTGTGGAGCCTTGGTAATGAACAACAGTCGCAAATGAAAACAGAAACGATAACACCGTTCGGTAGAGCATTCTATAAACGCGAAAAAACTGGCTACTGGGTCATACCACTCTGGTTACACGTCATTTACAATTTAAGTGTAAATGTCTTTCGATCAATTCTCTGGGCTTCACCGATTATCATTAGTATTCAGGTGATTGCCTGCATCTATCGACAACTTTCACGATTGTCGACGTCGACAAATATTGAGATCGGTGTCTTCACCTACTTTCTACTTGTTAGTATGCTCTCGCTATTCCACACAGCAATCGCATTATTCGCACTATTCATTGAGATTCGATGCAAATGGTTATTGTTTGGTCGACGCCGACAAGGTGAATACAATTGGAATGAATCATCGTATTGTCAACGGTGGCAACTGTACATTGGAATTCAACGTATCAGACGTCATATTTTAGACGTATTCTGCGGCTCGGCCTATCTATGTCTTTACTATCGATGCTTGGGTTCTCGTATTGGCCATAATGTTTGTCTGTATCCAACCGGTGGTGATCCAATGATGACGGAACCGGATTTAGTGGTAATAGGGGACGATTGCTGTGTCGACGATGCGTCTCTGATTTGTCATTTGAATTCGAAAGGACGATTTACATTGAATCCTTTAATAGTCGGCAATCGATGTGTTCTCAGATCGCAAAGTCGACTCCTATCCGGTGCAACTATGGAAGACGATTCAACTCTGTTAGAACATACACTGATTCTTAGTGGTGACACAACAGACGAAGGAACAATATGGCAAGGATGGCCAGCGACAGATGTGACGAAAGTCTTTCGTGGAAAGCGAGTTTCAATGCAGATCGAACATCGCCGTTCGATACGACGTCATGAGAGTATACTCACTCAAAAATCTGAAAAGAATGATGCTCCGCCAACAGTATTAACATTAGCAGCCGAACAGAATATTTTCAAAATAAGATTGTAAAGACTAGCTTTTTTTAAATATATAATACACATATTTTATCCTCTACAATTTATTAGCGAATAAAACAAGAGTATGAATGAGAAGTAAGATAACGAATCCATAGATGAATACCGTTCTCATAGAAATCTTCTCTCACTACGACGTGTAAAGAATCTAAAGCATCTTTCAAACATCGAAGAAGTTCATCGTCTTCATCTAATCGTTGAGATTTATTGTTGCCATTTGATATTTGAACATTCATTGCTCAGATATTTTTCGTCGGTATCTTCGATATAATTCCATGGAAAAGTTGCCTGAAATTGACCTTTGACTTCGAGATTACATTCGTGAAATGACACCCTTAATGAATGAAGGTGGTCAAGGGTGGGAGTAATAGACCATATGTGATTATGAAACGGTAAATCAATACACATGTGACAAACATTCGAAAAGCGAAAGGGTGCGTTGATGTTTGAGAAATCGGTTTGTACAGTATCATATGGTTCTGAATCATTCAGGCGATTTTTTAACAAGCTGTTTAGCGCACCAGCATATGTACCTATTGATTTCACTGTTAAATCACGTAGGTTAGGCATTTGTTTTAAAAAACTTCGGCCATTGAATGTTGCATCACGAACAAACAGCTTCAGTGATATGGTTGATGGAATTTTCCATAATTCTCGTTCTATGTTTTCTTGTTGATTATGCAGCAAGTCACTGAATCGTGGTAGACATCTGAGTGGTGTTTTCTTTAAAAACTAATCCCTATCTAGAGAGATTTCTAAGTGTGTCGCCGACGAGGTGTATATGTTGTTATTTGAAATAATCTGGCAGAGACAAAATTTAAAGAGATAATGAAGTTGTCGGAGATATTGTTTAAGAATTGTTGACGATTATCTTCGCGATCGAAAGCGTTAAATTTGTTGAGGGCGAAATATGTAAGATGAGGAAGTTGACAGCATTCATTGCTCAACTCAATTACAGTTTGCTCTGAATAAATATGAGATAGTGTAAGTGATCGGAGATTGACAAACATCTGAAGTGGCATATAGTAATTGAGAACATCTTCGATCTGATCAGAAGTGTCCGTGCCATTCGATAAGTGTAAAGCAGTAACTCGATCGACGATCCTTGGAAGATACTCTTCGCAGATGGTCTGAAGTTCAGTTTTCAATATTGATCGAGAGTCAATACTGGAGTTTTAAGACTTACAGAATCCGCAATAGAGATCAACTTCATTGCTATATTCGAATAAGTAAAGTAACACTTCGTTGGATAACTGTTCCAAACTCGACATGAAACCTCTGCTTGCTTTCCAGCATGGAAAATACAACTGATACGTGTGCGCTCTGTTTTATGTTCTTTTTCTTTGGAAAGTGATGTTTTCGCTTCCTCTATTTGTCATTGTTGACGCAGAGTAATAACTTTCATAATATTTTTAAATGTGACACATATTGTCTCAATATGAATGATATTACAAATGAAGAAATTCTTATGGAAGTGCGTTTTTTTTAATGTACTGTCGTTCTATTTGTGAGCAAAACGGCGGTCAATTATCACACATGTTCCGTATAGATGAGTATTCGATCAATAGGAAATCGAATGACGTGTTTTTCACTGATACAAACATAAGTAAACAACAACGAAGTGTACGTAACGTAAAATCAGTGGAACGCAACCACATTTATTTGGTCTTCCAAATAGCGAAAACTAGAAATTCCTTTCGTTGATAGTTTATCTTTTGATCATGGCATTGGTTCAACAAACCCGAGATTTGTTTATGGGAGGTGTGGGACTGCTGGCTGCGAGTTTTAATCTGGTTGGCGTCAATGCTTCGAATAATCAAATGAATTATCGTCCCGTTGAACGGTTCTATTACTCAGAATATCTTCACGATGGAATGATCATTCGTCAATTTTATGTGTATGAAACGCTTACTCATCATAGTTTTGTTGTTTTCCAAACTGAAACAGGGCAAACGTTCAAAGTTCATTTAGTTGCTGATCTTCTTCCTGAAGGATATTCGCCAATTTATGTTGAAATTAAACCTACTTACTGGAAACCTGATGGAAGACGTGTAGGAGGATCGAATAGAAAAGCAATTGATTTGAAATATTTCATTTCTACCGAAATACGAAAGTTTGGTGAATATGAAGTTGGACTCAATGATTGTCGACATTTTGCTCGATCAATAGCTGCATTTTTGACTGATGACGAACTCTACATCATCACACTAAGATTTCCTCCATATCCACAGAATTCAGGATATCCCTACACATATCCTATGGGTAATTTATGGACTCCAAGAAATTACATGTACAATAATTTTATGATATATCAATAAATATTAAACCAAGAGGGTCGAGAGTATGAAACTTACATCTACACACGACGTAATTCCAGTTTTTTTTTTCATTCTAGGAAAGCAAGTACGTAAAAGTCCATTTGGCATAAAAAGTGTCAAAGATTTGGGGGTAGGCTGACCTTCCCTGAGATTGTTTCCAGATCTTAGAAAAAATAATGATATTTTATTTGAATGATGTTACAATGTATTACGGATAGTTTATTATTGAGATTTTCTCTTATTTTCCGTTGATTTATTGTTAATAGCCACACTACAAAAAGTTGTTTAAAGTAAAATGCAATTCTCTGAAATGCACTCCGAAAGACGTAGAACAATTGAGTCTTGTTTTTGCATCCATTTATGAAGAAATTAATCATCTACTGACCCAAATGCAATTGATGTTAGTTTTATCATTCCATCATTATCTCTTACTTGTGGTCATGTACACAACACGTCAAGTAAAATTCACGCCTGATGATATTAGTAAATCATGTAATGATCTTCCTGCTCGGCCAAAATTAACAGCATGTCCAAACAATCCTAATAAACGTTCATTTTAATCAATTACGTAGATGTTGATCGAGTTATTCATATTCGTAAAAATCTTGATCATCTCATGAAAATATGTTCAATATTACATTGTTTAGTAGGCAAAATGTTTAGTTTTAGAGATCGTGAAGAAAATTCATGATATATATTTTTAAAAGCTGTCTAAAAATAATTTTCATTCGTTTTTTTAATATTTGTACAAGTTCAAATCAGTTCTAGAAGGTTCTGCAAGGAACGCTAGTTATCTGAGTCATGATAAACAACATAAATTAGTTCATAAGATGACGAACTCACGTGCGTAAAGATTCAATAATATTGAGCCGAACCTGTTTAATATTTAGCAGGCCTGAGCTCCCACTCTTAGTAAAAATTCCTGGTGCCACCACTTCACAATTGAGTGCAAAAAGAAACTGCTCTTTACCGCAAAGACTTTTGTGAGGATATGTCCAATGTTGTTCGAATTATTGTTCTAGAGTTAAAGGTGAACGCTAGTTTTTTAACGTCTTGCAATTTGTTTTACCGATAGATTACATCACTTCGAAAGGGTTAAAAATAAATTATTAAAGGCCTAGATTGTTCAATTTGGACCGAATATGGAAACCATCTTCAACAGTCGTATTAGCAGCAGAAATTTTAATCACACTGCAAGCAATGCATTCCCTACTAATATCTGCCATCTAGAGGCGCTGAGACGTATTGGAGAGATTGCATGTTGATAAATCTACGTCAATGGCTGACATTTAGAAAGAAATAACATCGATCGAAGGAAAGAGAAAGAAAAAAAAACAAGAAATACGCGGCACAGAGTAAAAAGAAGAATATATTATTGCATCAATAGCAAAACACAAAGTATGTCACGACGATTATTCAATGCAGTAAGATTTCTTCGTGATGAAGAATAAACTAATACAAGAATCTTTTATTCTATTATACAGGGCTTTTCTAGCTCAACATATGTTATTACAAGAACACTTGCATCAAAAGTTGCGGTACAAGATTTAAAAATTTTAGGCGTTGGTGCAGGTAACAAACCAGTGGCAGACGCACAAAAGCAGTTAGCATCATTAGGATATAAACAAACAAAAATTTTCGGTATTTATAATACAAAAAAAAGTGATCAAGAATTTATCAATGCATTAAAAGAAAAACAATGGGATGTAGTGGCTCTTGGTTTGTTTGTTTCTTTTCTTTTAAGAGTGAAATAATCGATTTTATTTTCTATTCTAGGCGGTTATGTCAATGGTTTTGACCAAGCACCGAAGTATCATGAAGAAGGTATTTCAACAGATCGTGCTGAAATACTTCATTGGTTTAATCGTATTTTAAATCTTGTTCATAAATTAGCACCTAACGCAAAAATTGTACTTCTAAAAGGACCGCAAGACCTTCCTGATGCTCTCGAAAGAGTTGTGAATCAAGAAAAAAACTAAACAAAATTATAAACAATTATACTTTTTCAGTAGATCTTTGCATCTTATATCGACGTAGTGCATTAGAAAGATAGCCACATAATGAATAAAAAATTATTATTTCATATCGGTATTTTCCATTGATGAGAAACGCGCCTAAAAAAATCAGAAGTAATTTAAAACTTTATAGAAAAGTAAATATCAAATATTTCACTATAGAAATATTTAGCATAACATCTCGTCTTTCTTAACCTGTAGAGAACGGTCATTTTGGATTTAAGTTTCAGATGCTCTTGTAGATTAAGAATATAATTTAGGGATCATTTTTATATTTAACTATGCTTTGTCGAGTGTTTTTGTCTATCCAGGAACTGCTCACATTTTCCATTGTTTACTTTCTCTGGTCATTTTCAATGATGTCATGTTCTGGAGCATTTAATTTCATATCGTGTTAGTGTTCGATTTCAATTGTAAAACAAGCTATTGAACATGACTGATGAATTTAATCGGTATTATATCGAAATTCGAATTATTTTGAGAATTGATTCAAAAATGATCTTCGACGAACTTACGGAATCCTTAGGACATGACTCGCCATCATATTCCATGGGCAAAACGTTCTCGTTGGACAAATTATCGATGATGACATTATGTTTGAGACTGATCTATCTCGTAGTACAATAGAACGAATTATTCATGATTTTCTGAAGATGAGAAAAAAAACATCACGTTGGATTGCTCATCGACTTAGAAATTGTCGTCAAAATTTAGTGAAATTTACAAACGAAATGTGGCGGTTGTGTCATATTATTATTGGTGGTGAGACATGAATCTATCACAGACAAATGGATCGCAAGTCAAGCAATGCTACATGAGTTGGCGAAAATGAATCACCAAAAACCATCGTTCGTTGGGATAGATCTGATCCAAAAACACCGAAAGCCATCACGATAATGGTCGTTCTCATCTCTATCGAGATGTCACTGATTATTTGATAGAAGAATGCATTGAAGTCATCTCACATCCACCATATTCATCCACTGTGCCGCCGTGTGACTTTTGGCTACCTGATTATATCAAGAACAAGTTGGCGCAGCACACAAAGGAAGAATCACTATCTCAGGAGATTTCGAGCATGATGAAGAGTATTCCAATAAATAAGTTTAAAAAGACTTTCGGTAAACTGTTAGAAAGAGAATAATGGTGATTATTTGAACAATTAATGGAATAAAAGTACGAATATATTTTTCTTTTCGTATACTGATTTTACAGTGTCAAGGTATTTTCTTGGCTATAAGCGCTATATCTTTTATTTAGCAGAATATTATACTTAAAACCAAAATGAACGTTCTCTACAGGTTAAGAACGATGAGATGTTATACTAAGTATTTCTATAGTAAAATATTTAATATTTACTTTACTATAAAGTTTTAAATGCCAGGACATCAGATTTTGATACATCCTAAGTATTTACTGCGCCAATGTACACTTCGAAGCTATCTGATAAAACCTGTGAGCAAGGTCGAAACCGGTTGATTAGATTATACATGGATGGACGTGCGAAGGAAGAAACGATCTTGAGAGAATGAACAGGTCACAAACATCGGCTGGCTCTATTTATGCCAGCGTGTATTGTATCTGTATGTAAAAATCAAAGAATATATGTAAGGAGAAGATGACCTCAATACATAGAAAGAAGAAAAGTAACTATTACCCGAGCAGATTCTAGGCGACGCAAGAAATATTCAAATATGAGGTAATCTTAAATCCAAAGAGGTATTCAGCCAATATTCTCAGATCGGTTATTGGAATATGTGGATTTGAGTCCTGCTTTGATTTGATGATCTTTTTTGGATAATTTTTCATACTTATCTGAGCATATCATCGTCGATACCAGATATGGATTTGATTAGATTGAATCGTGGACTAAGTGAAAGGATTTCTCACTAAAGTTGCTTTTTAATCCTATTTTCAAACTCACCCTCACGAAATTGCTGTTTGGACATTAAATAGCATGATCTTCAATCTAGTTGAGTTGCATTCCTATATCATCTAATCAAATAACACCAATGGAAAGCGTTCAGGACAGAATGAATAAGAAGTATTCTAATGCAGGAAGTGTACAACAAAATTCATATTTAATTTATGAGTTTTCAACTGCTTCTGAGTGCGTGAGGTTATTCTCTGGTATAGGCTCACAGAAAGGACAGAACTCTCGATCAGTAGTGTTATAAAGGAACATGAAAATGTTTGCATATTTAGCACATCTATATAAAGAACATTGACTTACGTCAGCCGTTTACCATGAGAACTGCAGACATTCTTTAGTGCACGCTGATTGGATCTGTCAATGACTTTTTTGTGAAATTGGCTAACAAAATCATATAAGCAGATTGTCGATAAAACTTTGGATCGACATTGATAGTTAAGACGCGTGTTTACCATCACATATGTGTTTTCGTTTTTATTTGCTGCCTTTTCCAAAATAAATTGTCCTTCATTCATTTTTGTCTCGTCTTCTTCATGGCCTTCATAAAAATCATTTAGCATAGCTAAAGATTCAATAGTTTTCCTTTTCCTATATGCCTAAGTATGCTTTAATTTATTACCTACTGTAGTTCGCTCATCAGTCTCTTTTGTATTCAACCTTGCTTTTATTAATTCTGTTTGCAGNATTCCGAGCAAGTCTACGCAGTTCTCAATTCACATCCATTGATTGCTGATTTGGAATTGGTACATTCGGTTGCCTACGTCGTCAGTAGCGAATTATTGGAAAAGGAAGCGATTTGGGATTATCTAGATACACATTTACACGATTATCTTCGTCCAAAGGACATAATTGTTGTGGAACAGATCCCAAGAGATGATAACAACAACGTCATTTTAGATTTGCTCGCCCCGAACAATTCAGCAAAGCAGCAGTCGAAGTGTCCATTGGAGGGTGCTCTGATCAAAATATTTTGTGAAATTTTAGATTTAAAAGACAGCACAGAAACTTCAATGAATGCAGAAACGGATTTTTTTCAAGTCGGTGGTAACTCGCTGAAAGCTGGTCTTCTAGTCAACAAAATCCGTAAAGAATTTGGTATAAGCATAGCAATAATGAAAATGTACATAAACAGAACAATTGGCTCACTTTGTACATTGATTCGCGAACAAGATCCAAATATCGTTACAAAGTTGGCGAAACAACAGCAAGAACAAAGTAATTTCATTGATCATTTCCCTGCACAGATGTCATATTGGTTTATGTTCGTATTCTTACTTCAGATGTTCCTGAAAATGATTCTCGAAAGAGAACGACACGTGCTGACGCCTACAAGTTGAGTCTTGAAGTTAAATCCAAAAGCTCGACACGCTTGGCCGCACTATTCGTTCAGTCGTTATCGTTAATTTTATTAAGACCTGTTTGCATCGCTCTGCACTGGTTTTCCTTTGTTGTTTTTCTAATTCTATACAGAAAATATTGGAAGGCAGTTGAACAATGGAAACAGATACTTTCGTTAGTACTCGCCATACTTTCCGCCCGATTGTTATTAAATCTCTTGGTGCTTCCCGGGACTTGTTTATTGGTCAAATGGCTTGTCATAGGGAAATATCGGCGTGGACATTATCCGCTTTGGGGGCAATACTATCTTCGATGGTGGTTTGTTGATCAAACAATCAAAGTGTTTGGATTCGGTGCGTTTGAATGGCATGAGAGTCTCCGTATTATCTTTCTCAAACTAATGGGTGCCAAGATTGGCAAACAGGTGACGATCGATCCAAATGCGCAGATTAGAGAATTCGATTTGGTTAAAATCAAATCCAATGTAAAGATTCAACGATGTATAATCAGTCCATTTACACTTAGTACGGGTTATATGGTATTAGCACCGATTCAAATCGGTCATAATTGCTCGATCGGGTTGAACACACGACTTTCTCCAGGTGCTACCGTGCTAGATGGTATGCAGCTCGGACCATTGTCATCATCACATGAAATGGATTTTACAACTGCTAATAAACAAGGGACAGTACCATCTAAAGCAGTAACTTTACACTTTGCCATTAAATATCTGTTCGGCTGGCCGGTGGTGTTGCTCGTCACAGTTCTGTCGTATGCTCCTTGGATTGGTGCGATATATCTTTTATCAGACCAAATATCTTCTCCTGATCGATCGAATGATTTTATATCGGTGGTTTACTTCTTCGCTGATGGAAAACGTGTTGGATTCCACCTACTAGCAGTCATAGCACGAGATATCATTCGCCCATTTATCTATGTCGCTGGTTGCATTCTTGTTAAACGGATCATTATTGGTAAATTTAGAGAACAGAGTCAAGTAGAGCAAAAACGTACATTTATGATTAATTTCAAGCAACAAATATATCTTTTAAAACATTGGCTAATGAAAGAATTGTTACCCGGTGGCGATTTCAATGGGCTTTCTCATTTAATAGGTACGCACTATGAATTGATCAGTGTTATCTATCGTCTTCTCGGTGCTCGGATTGGAAAACGTATCTATTGGCCTGGGTCCGGTTTGAACACGTACGAATACGATCTTCTCACCATCGAAGACGACGTTGTTTTTGGTTCACGTTCTTACTTTCCATGCTCAAATGGTGACAAAACACAGAGTAACAAAATTACCATTCAAAGTGGCGCGATGATTGCTGATCGATGCGTTCTATTGCCTGGTGTGATTGTTGAAAGAAATACGGTTATGGGAAGTGGCAGTCTGGGAAAAGAAAACACGACCTATCCGTCTGGTTCAATATGGATCGGATCGAAGGAAGGCAATGCTGTATTGTGGAGTCTTGGTAATGAACAACGGTCGCAAATGGAAACAGAAACGATAACACCATTCGGCAGAGCATTCTATAAACGCGAAAAAACTGGCTACTGGGTCATACCACTCTGGTTACACATCATTTACAATTTAAGTGTAAACATCTTTCGATCAATGCTCTGGGCTTCACCGATTATCATTAGTATTCAAGTGATTGCCTGCATCTATCGACAACTTTCACGATTGTCGACGTCGACAAATATTGAGATCGGTGTCTTCACCTACCTTCTACTTGTTAGTATGCTCTCGCTGTTCCATACAACAGTCGCATTATTAGCACTGTTCATTGAGGTTCGATGCAAATGGTTATTGTTTGGTCGACGCCGACAAGGTGAATACAATTGGAATGAATCATCGTATTGCCAACGGTGGCAACTGTACATTGGAATTCAACGTATCAGACGCCGTATTTTAGACGTATTCTGCGGCTCGGCCTATCTATGTCTTTACTATCGTTGCTTGGGTTCTCGTATTGGCCACAATGTTTGTCTGTATCCAACCGGTGGTGATCCAATGATGACGGAACCGGATTTAGTGGTAATAGGGGACGATTGCTGTGTCGACGATGCATCTCTGATTTGTCATTTGAATTCGAAAGGACGATTCACATTGAATCCTTTAATAGTCGGCAATCGATGTGTTCTCAGATCGCAAAGTCGACTCCTATCCGGTGCAACTATGGAAGACGATTCGACTCTGTTAGAGCATACATTGATTCTTAGTGGTGACACAACAGACGAAGGAACAATATGGCAAGGATGGCCAGCGGCAGATGTGACGAAAGTCTTTCGCGGAAAACGAGTTTCAATGCAGATCGAACATCGCCGTTCGATGCGACGTCGTGAGAGTATACTCATTCAAAAACATGAAAAGAATGATACTCCGCCAACAGTATTAACATTAGCACCCGAACAGAATATTTTCAAAACAAGATTGTAAAGATTAGCCTTTTTTAAATATATAATGCGCATATTTTATCCTCTACAATTTATTAATGAATAAAACAAAAGTATGAATGAGAAGTAAGATAATGATCAGTTTCATCCTCACTCTAACGAATCCATAAATGAATACCGTTCTCATAGAAATCTTCTCTCACTACTACGCGTAAAGAATCGAAAGCATCTTTCAAACATCGAAGAAGTTCATCGTCTTCATCTAATCGTTGAGATTTATTGTTGCCATTTGATATATGAACATTCATTGCTCAGATATTTTTCGTCGCTATCTTCGATATAATTCCATGGAAAAGTTGTCTGAAATTGACCTTCCACTTCGAGATTACATTCGTGAAACGACACCCTTAATGAATGAAGGTGGGCAAGGGTGGGAATAATAGACCGTATGTGATTATGAAACGGTAAGTCAATACACAGATGACGAATAGTCGAAAAGCGAAAGGGTACGTTGATGTTGGAGAAATCGGTTTGTACAGATAAGGATTGTACAGTATCATATGACCGAAAATCTCTCCCGTCAGGAGAACTCGATTTCAATTGAAGAGTATTTGCATGAATATGAAATTTGTCAAGTTTTGGCAAATCATTTGCAATAACATCTTTCCACGTATTTCCACTAATGGAAATAAGTGACGGACGTGAAGGGTGGTGTTTTTTTAAATAACTAATCTCTATCTAGAGAGATTTCTAAGTGTCGCAGACGAGGTGTATATGTTGCTATTTGAAATAATCTGGCAGGGACAAAATTTAAAGAGATAATGAAGTTGTCGGACAGAGAATCTATATCGAGACCAGATTTCCATACTGAGATGGCAAGAAATTAGTTTTAGTATACACCAGATATTGTTTAAGAATTGTTGACGATTATCTTCGCGATCGAAAGCGTTAAATTTGTTGAGAGCGAAATGAGTAAGATGAGGAAGTTGATAGCATTCATTGCTCAACTCAATTACAGTTTGTTCTGAATAAATATGATATAGTGTAAGTGATCTGAGATTGACAAACATTTGAAGTTGCATATAATAATTGAGAACATCTTCGATCTGATCAGAAGTGTCAGTGTCATTCGATAAGTGTAAAGAAGTAACTCGATCGACGATCCTTGGAAGATATTCTTCGCAGGTGGTCTGAAGTTCAGTTTTCGATATTGATCGAGAGTCAATACCAGAGTTTTGTCTGTATTTCAAAACTAAACAATCGAAACGATAGTTAAGACTACAGAAGCCACAATAGAGATCAACTTCATTGATATATTCGAATAAGCAAAGTAACACTTCGTTGAATAACTGTTCCAAAGTCGTCATGAAATCTCTGCTTGCTTTTCAGCATGCAATATACAACTGATACATGTGCGCCCTGTTTTATATTCTTCTTCTTTCGAAAGTGATGGTTTTTTTCCTCTATTTGCCTTTGTTGACGCAGAGTAATCACTTTCATAATATTTTTAAATGTGACACATGTTGTCTCAATATGAATGATATTACAAATGAAGAAATTCTTATGAAAGTGCGTTTTTTTTAATGTCCTGTCGTTCTATTTGCGAGCAAAACGGCGGTCAATTATCACACATGTTCCGTATAGATGAGTATTCGATCAATAGGGAATCGAATGACGTATTTTTCACTGATACAAACATAAGTAAACAACAACGAAGTGTACGTAACGTAAAATCAGTGGAACGCAACCACATTTATTTTGTCTCCCAAATAGCGAAAACTAGAAATTCCTTTCGTTGATAGTTGATCTTCTGATCATGGCATTGATTCAACAAACCCGCGATTTGTTTATGGAGGGTGTGGGACTGCTGGCTGCGAGTTTTAATCTGATTGGCGTCAATGCTTCGAATAATCAAATGAATTATCGTCCCGTTGAACGATTTTATTACTCAGAATATCTTCATGACGGAATGACCATTCGCCAATTTTATGTGTATGAAACGCTTACTCATCATAGTTTTGTCGTTTTTCAAACTGAAACAGGGCAAACGTTCAAAGTTCATTTAGTTGCTGATCTTCTTCCTGAAGGATATTCGCCAATTTATGTTGAAATTAAACCTACTTACTGGAAACCTGATGAAAGACGTGTAGGAGGATCAAGTAGAAAAGCCATTGATTTGAAATATTTCATTTCTACCGAAATACAAAAGTTTGGTGAATATGAAGTTGGACTCAATGATTGTCGACATTTTGCGCGATCAGTAGCTGCATTTTTGACTGATGACGCGCTCTACATCATCACACTAAAATTTTCTCCATATCCACAGAATCAAGGATATCCCTACACATATCCTATGGGTAATTTATGGACTCCGAGAAATTACATATACAATAATTTTATGATATATCAATAAATATTAAACCAAGAGGATCGAGAGTATGAAACTTACCTCTACACACGTTTTCTTCCCTTCTAAAGAATGACTGATGGGGCAAAAAATAGAACAGGGAAACTTTTCCGTTCGATCTGTTCTGAGTTAATGGAAATTTCTTTAGAGTAGAATTTTGGCAGTGAATGCGCACCGACCGTTCTTGAGAAGAAAGTCGAATTGATCTGATAACCTCGAAATGAAGGTACCGACAACTCTCGGCTTACTGAGATCAGTAGCCGTTTGGATACGCGCGATGTAATTCCAGTTTTTTTTTCATTCTAGGAAAACAAATGCGTAAAAGTCCATTTGGCATAAAAAGTACCAAAGATTGGGAGGTGGGCTGAGTCTGCTTGAGATTGTTTCCAGATCTTAGAAAAAATAATGATATTTTCCTTGAGTGATGTTGCAATGTACTACGGTTAATTTATTATTACAATTTTCTCTTATTTTCTATTCATTTATTGTTAATAACCACACCACAAAAATTTGTTTAAAGTAAATGCAATTTTCTGAAATGCAGTCCGAAAGACGTAGAACAATAGAGTCTTGTTTTCGCATCCATTTATAAAGAAAACAGGCACAAATGAAGATGAAATAGAACTGAATGTTATTAATTCATCATCTGCTGATCCAAATGCAATTGATATTAGTTTTACCATTCAGCTGTCATCATTTGATTCTCAAAATTTTGCTTCTTCTTTTGATAACCAAAAGGTGCATTATATGTTAATTTTAACAATTTCATCATGATCTCTTACTTAGGGTCCTATAAACAACACGTCAAGTAAAATCTAAGCCTGATGATATTAGTAAATCATCCAATGATCTTTCTACTCGGCCAAAATTAACAGCGTGTCCAAGCAATCTTAGTAGACGTTCATTTCAATCAAGCTGCCATAAATAGTGTTATTGATCAATTAGATGTTGATCGAGTTATTCATATTCGTAAAAATCGTGATCGTCTCATGAAAATATGTTCAACATTACATTTTTTAGTAAGTAAAATGTTTAGTTTTAGAGATCGCAGAGAAAATTCATGATATATATTTTTAAAAGCTTTCTAAAAATAATTTTCATTCGTTTTTTTCAAATATTTGTACCAGTTCAAATCAGAGTAATTATATGGAAATTCTTTCAAGAGCAGCGGATAATCCTATTGTAAAATCAGTTCTAGAATGTTGTGCAAGGAACGCTAGTTACCTGAGTCATGATATACAACATAAATTAGTTAATATTATGGCAAACTCAAGTGCGTAAAGATTCAATAATATTGAGCGGAACCTGTTTAATATTTAGCAGGCCTGAGCCCCTACCCCTAGCAAAAATTCCTAGCGCCCCCGCTTTACAGTTAAATGCAAAAAGAAATTGCTCTTTACTACAAAGACTCTTGTGAGGATATGTCCAATGCTGTTTGAATTATTGTTCTAGAGTTAAAAGTGAACGTTAGCTTTTTAACATCTTGCAATTTGATTTACCGATAGATTACATCACTTCGAAAGGGTTCAAAATAAATTATTAAAGATCTAGATTGTTCAATTTGGACCGAATATGAATACCATCTTTAATAGTCGTATTAGCAGCATAAATTTTAATTACACGGCAGGCAATGCATTCCCTACTAATATCTGCCATCTAGAGGCGTTGAGACGTGTTGGAAAGATTGCATGTTGATAAATCTACATCAATGACTGACATCTAGAAAGAAATAACATCGATCGAAGGAAAGAGAAAGAAAAAAAAACAAGAAATACACGGCACAGAGTAAAAAGAAGAAAATATTATTTCATCAATAGCAAAACACAAAGTATGTCACGACGATTATTCAATGCAGTAAGATTTCTTCGTGATGAAGAATAAATTAATACAAGAATCTTTTATTTTATTATACAGGGCTTTTCTAGCTCAACATATGTTATTACAAGAACACTTGCATCAAAAGTTGCTGTGCAAGATTTAAAAATTTTAGGTGTTGGTGCAGGTAACAAACCAGTGGCAGATGCACAAAAGCAGTTAGCATCATTAGGATATAAACAAACAAAAATTTTCGGTATTTATAATACAAAAAAAAGTGATCAAGAATTTATCAATGCATTAAAAGAAAAACAATGGGATATAGTGGCTCTTGGTTTGTTTGTTTCTTTTCTTTTAAGAGTGAAATAATCGATTTTATTTTCTATTCTAGGCGGTTATGTCAATGGTTTTGACCAAGCATCAAAGTATCATGAAGAAGGCGTTTCAACAGATCGTGCTGAAATACTTCATTGGTTTAATCGTATTTTAAATCTTGTTCATAAATTAGCACCTAACGCAAAAATTGTACTTCTAAAAGGGCCGCAAGACCTTCCTGATGCTCTCGAGAGAGTTGTGAATCAAGAAAAAAACTAAACAAAACTATAAACAATTATACTTTTTCAGTAGATCTTTGTATCTTAATAGCGACATAGTTCATTCATTAGAAACATAGTCACATAATTAATAAAAAAAATTATTATTTCATATCGGTATTTTCCATTGATGAGAAACGCGCCTGAAAAAATAAGAAATAATCATGCATATCCCTTGTAAAAAATGCTGTTGTTGTTTTCGTATTAAATACTTAGGGTATACCAAAAGTTGGTGTCCTGGCATTTAAAACTGTATAGAAAAGTAAATATTAAATATTTTACTATAGAAATACTTAGTATAACATCTCATCTTTCTTAACCTGTAGAGAACGTTCATTTTGGATTTAAGTCTCAGATGCGCCTAGATTAAGAATATAATTTAAGGATCATTTTTATATTTAACTATGCTTTGTCGAATGTTCTTGTATATTCAGGAACTGCTCACATTTTCCGTTCTTTACTTTTTCTGGTCATTTTCAATGATGTCATGTTCTGGAGCATTTCATTTCGATAATATATAGAGATGAGAGAGTTTGTTCACTGTTAGTTCATTTGTATCGCATTTAACTTCATAGCGTGTTAGTGTCCGATTTCAATTGTAAAACAAGCTATTGAACATGACTGATGAATTTAATCGGTATTATATCAAAATTCAAATTAGTTTCGGAATTGATTCAAAAATAATCTTCGACGAACTTACGGAAGCTTTAGGACATTACTCGCCATCATATTTCATGGGCAAAACGTTTTCGTTTGACAAATTATCGATGATGACATTATGGTTGAGACTGATCTATCTCGTAGTACAATAGAACGAATTATTCATGATTGTCTGAAGATGAGAAAAAGAACATCACGTTGGATTGCTCCTCGACTTAGAAATTGTCGTCAAAATTTAGTGAAATTTAGAAACGAAATGTGGCAGTTGTGTCCTATTATTATTGGTGATCAGACATGAATCTATCAGAGACAAATGGATCGCAAGTCAAACAATGCTACCTAGGTTGGCGAAAATGAATCACCAAGAACGATCGTTCGTTGGGATAGATCTGAACCAAAAACACTGAGAAAAATCTCAAGGATACTTACAATTCGTCAAAGGAGTATACTGGAGTACCGACTTTTCGCCTTTTCCTCCCTTGTATACCGGTCATCGATGAAATAAGAAAAAACCAAAAGTCATCACGATAATGGTCGTTGTCATTTCACATCCACCATATTCAAGAACAAGTTGGCGCAGCACACAAAGGAAAATCACTATCTCAGGAGATTTCGAGCATATTGAAGAATGTTCCAATAAATAAGTTTAAAAAGACTTTCGGTAAACTGTTAGAAAGGATGAATCTGTGTATCGAGAATAATGGTGATTATTTGAACAATTAATGAAATAAAAGTACGAATATATTTTTCTTTTCGTATACTGATTTTACAGTGTCAAGGTATTTTCTTGACTATAAGCGCTATATCTTTTATTTAGCAGAATATTAGACTCAAATCCAAGATAAACGTTGTCTACAGGTTAAGAAAGATAAGATGTTATACTAAGTATTTATACGGTAAAATATTTAATATTTACTTTACTATAAAGTTTCAAATGCCAGGAAATCAACTTTTGGTATATTCTAAGTATTTACCGCACCAATATACACCTCGAAGCCATCTGATGAAACCTGTGAGCAAGGTCGAAACCGGTTGATTAGATTATACATGAACGTGCGAAGGAAGATACGATCTTAAGAGAATGAACAAGTCACAAACATCAGCTAGCTCTATTTATGCCAACGTGCATTGTATCTGTGTGTAAAAATCAAAGAACATATGTAAGGAGAAGATGACTTCAATACATAGAAAGAAGAAAAGTAACTATTAGCCGAGCAGATTCTAGGCGACGCAAGAAATATTCAAATATGAGGTAATCTTAAATCGAAAGAGGTATTCAGCTAATATTCTCAGATCGGTTATTGGAATATGTGGGTTTGAGTCCTGCTTTGATTTGATGATCTCTTTTGGATAAGTTTTTCATACTTATCTCAGCATATCATCATTGATACCTGAAATGAATCTGATTAGATTGAATCGTGGACAAATGAAAGGATTTCTAACTAAAGTTCATTTTTAATCCTATTTTCAAACTCGTCCTCATCTTCACGAAATTGCTGTTTGGACATTAAATAGCATGATCTTCAATCTAGTTGAGTTGCATTCCTATATCATCTAATCAAATAACACCAATCGACAACGTTCAGATCCGAATGAATAAGAAGTATTTCAATGCAGAAAGTGTACAAAAAAATTCATATTTAATTTATAAGTTTTCAACTGCTTCTGAGTGCGTGAGGTTATTCTCTGGTATAGGCTCACAGAAATGATAGAACTTTCGATCAGTAGTTCATTTATAGACCATAGAGTCTGTGTTATAAAGGAACATGAAAATGTTTGCATAGCTAGCACATCTATATAAAGAACATTGACTTACGTCAGACGTTTACCATGAGAACTACGGACATTCTTTAATGCACGCTGATCGGATCTGTCAATGACTTTTTTGTGAAATTGGCTAACAAAATCATATAAGCAGATTGTCGATAAATCTTTGGATCGACATTGATAGTCGAGACGCGTGTTTACCATCACATATGTGTTTTCGTTTTTATTTGCTGCCTTTTCCAAAATAACTTGTTCTTCATGGCCTTCATAAAAATCATTTAGCATACCTAAAGATTCAATAGTTTTCCTTTTCCTATATGCCTAAGTATGCTTTAATTTATTACCTACTGTAGTTCGCTCATCAGTCTCTTTTGTATTCAACCTTGCTTTTATTAATTCTGTTTGCAGATGGTTTTCAATAGAAAGTAAGAAGAGATTCTTGAACGTATGTGTCGTATAATGGTCTCCAAAACTCATTAAATATGATGCTACTTGAACGCCTGATACTTCTTGATGTGAATCAATCATGGAAAGCGAGACTTCAGACTTCGAATACTTCATCCGCAGTACAAATACTAGCTGAACAAGATGGAGTCTCGCTTTTCCCCCTTGATAATCATACATTTTGGTTCTATTTTATCAGTAGTGATACAAGTAGAGAATTTCATCCTGATTTTTCGTAAAAATGGTTCAATTTCCACGTTTTTTGTTTGTTCGCCAATTTTGGTTTTCTGAAAAGGCCTGAGAGAAAAATTCCTTTTACTCAGTTTTTCAGTAATTCATCTATCTATAGTTTTCAATTATACGATGCGTGGAGGATATGTGGTAGAATGACGACGCTAACTGATCCTACGCGCCATATGTAGCTCGGTACCGCGTAGAAAGGTAGCATATATTTACGTAGAAAACGATGTCGGTAGTTAAAATCGACTCTCGATTTTAATTTTTATTGCCTACCTATTTATGCTGTTTTATCATACTTTGCATAAGATTTATAATCTCATAAAGTTAGAAATACTGGGATTTTTGTTTCAGTGTAATCTGTATTGGTTGGAAAAAAACCTTTATTTTATACCTTTACATGATAGTAAACTTGAGATATAGGATATTATATATGATGGAAAAACGATGAAAATCATTCATTTCTTTTTACTGTAATCATATAGAATGTATTTACAAGTGATGATAAAACATGTGCTGTAAAAACCATAGTTCTATTATGAGTAAAATCGACATGTAAGGCAATTTTCTTTGTTATCTTGAGATGACTCTTCTTTAGCAAGTTTCCAATAGAGACAAAATTATTTTAGAATAAAAACTCTCTAATGATACTTCGAAGAGTTGATTAAAATCATAACAATTAAACAATTCTTTGTTCTCGACCTTAACAAGATTCTCGTTTCTTTTAGAGTAAATAATAATTTAATCAAGAATTAATATCAAAAAACAAAATATTTTGACAATGGATGTACCGACTCCATCGCCACCAGGTGGACAACAAGATTGGCCTGGGTTTATGACTGTACAAAATTTCATTGACGATGTTCCAAACGGATTTATAAGAACCAGTTAAACGAACAATACAGAAAGTTTCTTATCAACTTCACTATGACATTTGATCGTTACAGAGATCTATTTTTTATTTCAAATATGATATTATCATTTTTTAATAAATATTTTAGCTGCAAATCTACGTTCATCGTCACATTAACAGTCATATAATCTCTTATTTATCATTTATTCTACTTGAGAATGTTTTGTTTGATGTAATCTATGGTATTTATACAACGCTTAATTTCTATATGATCTTGTGGAAGTGTGTTTCGATAAATCAAAACTGCTCGATTAAGAAAGAATAATGATCGTTGATAATCACCATTCTTTAAATATGTTAAACTCATATTATAGTAAATTTGTGCAATTGATGGATGTTCTGACGGTAGTGATAATTGAAAGATATCTAATGCTTGTTTGAAATACTGCAGAGCTTGATCATATTGATTATTTGAAAAATAAACATTAGCAATATTATTTAATGATCTTGCAATGTCAGGATGCATATGTGGCAAAATTGTTTCTCGAATATTTAATGAATTTGTATAATATTCAATTGCTGTAGTAAGCTGATGTTGTTGAAAATAATTAGCACCTAAATTATTTAAGCAATTAGCAACTGATTCATTTTGATTTCCGAATAATGTTTTGAATATATTCAGAGCTTCTTGATAATTTCCCTTTGCTTCATGAAATCTCCCTTTCATCTGTTCAATATCACCCAGATTCTGTAGACAACTTGCAATTCCACGATTATCTCCCATGGATGTGTACATTTCAAAGGCTTTGTTGAACCATTGCAAACTGATTTCTATATTTCCTTTTGATTTGTGTATCACACCTATCGAACCATACAGATCAGCGATTAACGGATGATCATTTTCTAATTCATTTAAATTTCGCTTATAAAATTCTTCAGCTTTATCATACATTCCCGCTGTCCTCAATATATGACCAAGCGTTAAACATCCATTACTCATTCCAATTTCTTTTTGCATATGTCGAAAAAGAAATTGGATGTCTTGATCATAGTTTTCATTACATAAATTCATTTTAATGGTAGTCAGTTCATTTTCTTGACTGATGTCAGTCAGTTGAAATATTGATGCAATCATAAACAGAATTTCCTGTTCATCTGTAAAATTACTTTGTGAACTGATGCTTGCAAATGGTTTTGCTGTAGAAGATATTTGAGGATCAACGCTGATTTCGAACAAAACAGGACAAAGATCATCATGCTTAGATGAAACAAATAAAAGAGAAATTTGTCGATCGAGAGTTGTTGACAGAAATGAATTCATCGATATTAATTGTCCTTTAGAAGTTTTTAAAACATCCAATTCTTGTTTTGACAATAGTTGACCTCGATAAACACGAATTGGTATTCGATCTTGTTCATATTGTAATTTTTTGAGTTGATTATACATATCTTGAATAAAAAATCGAAATCGAAATAGAACATCTGTATTTTGGACTCGTAAAGCTTTATTGAGCATGCGATAGATAAACATATCTCGTGTGTACCAATAGAGAGCTTTTTCTGGATTATAAGATTCTTTAAATTGTTGAAGTGTAGAGAATTGTTTATCACTTTTAACGTAATCTTTTTCACATAGATCGAAAAATGCATCCCGATCCGTTTGACTATGTTGACAATGAAGTAGACCATCGATAAATAATTGAAAATGAAGAAGACCACCATTTATATTTGTTGATGAACGTTCTTCATCATGATTGAGGTTAAATATACTAACGGGTAAAAGTTCATAAGCGAATCTTTCTCTTGTTCTTTGATCGTCTTGAAGTTTTTCGATTAGTTCATCGACACTTCTAATAATTACTCGAACTTTGACAAATTTTCTTGTCCATTCCGAATATTTATTTAAAATTGTGCCATATATATATATGGAATTGATTTGTCTCAATGAATGAACAAGAGGAATAAGAACAGATCCAAAATGTTCATCAATAATCAATAGAATTTCATTATCTTTGAATTGTTGAATGTATATTTTGCATTGATCATCATTTTCAAATGATTTCATATGTTTATAAGTAAAACCCAGTTGTTGATGAACGTGATCAATCTCATTCGAATAAGCAGTAGCATCAATCCACATAAGAAAATATGTTTCTAAATTGTTATGTGGAATTAATTTTGATATGATAGAATGTATTGGAAAAATAATAGTTGATGTCATTTTTCAAGCGCACTCCGAATATTTTTGTTGAAGTTTACAAAATGCTGTTGCAAAGAGTCTCTTTTTCGAAAACAATGAAAATGTAATGTTTTCAGTCAAGTTAAGCTTCGAAATCTAACTGTTCTCGCTTTCATATATCATATTATCAGCATGATGCGAATTTTTATTTTAAAAACATCTGTTAAACTGGAATAGGATACGGATAAACATAGATAATTAGATTTTCTTTTGTTTTCATTTTTCAAGAATCAGCTAAGCAATTTTAGTTTTGTTTGAAGAAAATAAAATGAGGTAAGATTTTTCAAACTGTTTCATAAATAAACAATATTAAAACTAATAATACCAATTAAACTTCATCATGCCGTAAAGGAGATATCAAAATGAAAAGTGAACTTTCAATATGAATAATAATAATGAAAATTTATTTTCTAAACAAAATACAATTAACTCATGTGCCTTGTGTTATATAAACTTCAATTTGTCATGTGTTATCAGATTATTTTCAAAATTAGGAAAAAAGGATGTGGGTGTCACCAGTCTCATCCCTCACCCACACCCTCAAAGAAAAAACTGCCAAATGCTTGATTGAGATAAACATGAAAACAGGATTTATTTCATGACTGTTGTAATATTTTAGATGCTTGAAAAGAAATTGTCCGTATTTGATCTGGATAAATCAATGAACAAAATTACCTTTGTGTCAGATAGAGGATCTAATTTCGTGAGTGCGCTACGGAATTTCGAAATATTGTTTTGTGTAGCGCATCGGCTCAATAACATATTGAAACGTACGTTTTATCAAGGATAGAAAACGAAAAAAAAAAGAATATTACACCAATAAAATCATTCGTATGTTCAATAACTATGACAGAAGGAGAAGTTACACCTACACAAACTCGCACAACATCAGTTGCTATTATCTTCCGACAGTCATTGCGAAACACTTGGTGATGACAACAGCAAAGATTCCAACCAATCAAGCGATGATGACGATTTATTAGATTACGCAGCTGCGACGATTGCTGAACTTAGTCCCGCTGTCAAACAAGCGTTGGATGTGGTTACTCATTGTAAATCATTGGTTAAGTAGGTGAAGAAGGTATGTATTTTCTATTTGAGAGTAAGGCATTCTGAACTGGATTCATCCTTCCAGGTCAGTCTCAATAGACAATTACAAGTAGAGCGTGAAAGTCAACTGCACAATATTGAAGACGGAAATCGAGAGTTTCACTCAGCTGCGAACTCAAAGACGGAAAATTCGGCGGCAACACTTCATCAATCATCGGTCGTACGTTGGCTTTCTCTTATTTTTTTACACCGAAGCATTAAAAACGCCTATTCGAATTTACTTATAGTCGTGAGAAGAAATGATCAATCACATCGGCTTCATGCTATCAATATGGACATTGTCGAAAAGCTCATTCAATTTCTCGGTTCATGGCATGAAGTTTTGTGCGAACTTCAGACTGGTAATTCACCATCTCTCTTTCTTGTATTACCATGCATTCATCACCTTCGACAAAAGCTACATATTGATATGAAAAGAGACAAAGGAGGCAATATAAGATGATCGATCAGTTCGTCAGTTTCCATTAGCAATTATTCCGATGTTTTCTCCTAGGTATACGATTTTTCTACAAAAGAGCTTCTGAATTTCTCAACAGTATATTCACTGTTGGAAGTGAGCATGTGATGGCAACATTCTCACACTCCAATTACAAATAATTGAGAGGTGCAACGATAACGCAAATCTCAGATTGTCATCGAGAATGTCGTGCGTCAATGACATCGATTGATACATCTGTAGATGTGAACAGCGTTGAAGATTGTCTTGATACTTATATCGATATCAATTATGAACCAAGAGTGAAACGAACAAAATTACTCATGACATCCTTAATGGATAAGAATGTTTCTGGTAGAAATCGCTCATCAGATAAAGTTGATCAGTATATTAAATTGACATTGGATTGTAAGAGTTGTTATACCAATCCACTCATGTTCTGGAAACAATCCAAGTATCATCTCGCATTTCCAAATTTAGCTCGACTAGCAAAATACTACTTTTCTATCCCATGCAGTTCTGCATCACCAGAGCGTCAATTCAGCGCTGCTGGATATATTGTTAATCAAAGACGTTTTTACTTTAGATCCTTCAATTGTGAATGATATTCTTTTTCTTCGTTCATTAGAAAAGCGACAGCGTGAGGTGTTATGTCTTTTCTTGTTTACATTCACGTTTCTCTGTCTTGAATTTTTGATGCCATATCTAGTTGAACCTTTTCTACCTATTTGAACAAAATATATGTAGAAACATTTCTTTTATTGTGTTGCTTGCTCATATCCACTCTATGCTGATGAATCATGAAAATAAAAGATTATTTTTCTTTTGCTCACTCATGTTATTTTTCCGACAAATAGTGACTAAATTTGATTAGTATAAACATATTTAAATGGCCTATGAAACCGAACCGAATCCCTAAGGTTTACACATAGAAGCGAATCGAACTGAGTCGAATTTCATTTTTCTTGATTCGTTTCGACCTCTGCTGGCCAATCAGGTTTCACGCGATGTAGGGTTGAGAAATTACATATGTGTCTAGGATACTTTTGTCGTATGACCCTATATATGAGAATCATGGAAGATTTCCTCTTATAACGACTAGTAAACGAAAGACAAGCTCCAGCTGAAAGCTTTCGTTATATAGATTTTGTTCAGGTAGTTAAATTGTGTGTTAAGTGCTAGAGTGAAAACAACCGCCTGCGAGATGAATGGCTTGATACATGTTTTGAAAACTTCTTATGACAAGAATAGAATTAAAAGAGAATCAGTCGAGGGCTAAACGAATCGGACTCGGCGAGCGTTACTTGTAGATAAAATGCTCCTGAGTGGATTCGAGATAGTATTCTCCTTTTTACGGCTCTTTAACTCATTGTTTTCAGTCTTAAAATAAGCTTTTACGTGAATATTGCCATTTAAGAATACTATCAGAGACAAAACATTCGAACATCTGTGAGTTCTTTGATGAAAAAAATTTACACTAATGTTTAGAGATCAAAGAATACTACATGAAGTAGCTCGCAATATAAACACAAAATCAAAAAAGTGTGAACGCACTCTAAATTGTACAAAAAATACTGCAAAAGTCTGTGTATAACTAATAGATTTCGATCTGAGATAACCTTCATGAAGATTGATCTTCGTTGTTTCCTCTCATGTCTGTTTGTGATTGAATACAATCATTCATTGAATAGATTTAAATATCTCAGCGAAAGATAAGAAAAAAAAACACGAAACGCAGCAGAAGAGAAGAAAAGAAGTTACTTGATGAATATGAATCCATCAGCTGAAATTATGAACATTTGGGGCAGAAAACTTTTTTTAATACTTTCTATGCATTTTCACAAAGATAGATTGAATTGGTGGAATTGTGATTGATCGAAAGCAGTTAGTCGATTAACATATTACTAGGTTGAGGAAAAAGTTCGTGCGCCGTGTTAAAATAATGATTTTTTTATCCATGAATTTATTTAAAAACAACATCTATTCTTCAAAATAAAGACCATCATTGTCCACGACCTTCTGCCAACGATCTGCAAGCTTTCGGATTTGGTCAAAGTACCACTCCTTCGACTTTGAATTGAAAAAGTCTTCACATGCTTCTTCAACGTCGTCGAATGAGTCAAATCGGCGACCTTTCATANATTTAAAAACAACATCTATTCTTCAAAATAAAGACCATCATTGTCCACGACCTTCTGCCAACGATCTGCAAGCTTTCGGATTTGGTCAAAGTACCACTCCTTCGACTTTGAATTGAAAAAGTCTTCACATGCTTCTTCAACGTCGTCGAATGAGTCAAATCGGCGACCTTTCATAAAGTGCTGCATTGATCGGAAAAGACCGTAGTCAGATGGGGCAACGTCTGGACTATAGGATGGATGCGGCAGAATTTCGACACCGTCCAATTCTTCAAACTTGTTGCTGGTCGCTCTGGCGGTATGTGGCTTTGCATTATCTTGTTGAAACAAAGCGCGTTTTCGACGAACAAGACTTGGGTACTTTTCAACCAGCGCATCATAGACTCGATCAAGTTGCTCGCAGTAAAGTTCAGCGTTGATGGCGCGACCATTCGGCACAAGTTCAAAATGTAAGATTCCTTCGAAGTTCCACCAGACGCAGATCATGATCTTGCTTTCAAATTGATTTTGCTTTGGAACGCATGGAGGATTTTGACCTTTTGGGACCCAACGCTTGCTTCGATCGTGATTGACTAGGTAGACCCACTTCTCGTCTGATGTCACAATTCGCTTCCAAAAATGGTCATCCAACGGATTGTTGAGCAATTGGCGGCAAATTTCGACTCGTTTTGCGGCTTGCGTTTCGGTCAACTCGTGTGGATCTTGTCGTGGCTTTTTATGGACAAAGTCAAGTTGCTTGAGATAATTCCAAACTGTCTTCTGATCGACACCAAGTTCTTCAGCCAATTCGCGTGTGTTTGATGACGGCTCAAGATCCAAAGCGGCTTGCAAGTCCTCTTCGTCCAAAACCGTTGGTCGTCCGGAACGTGGCTTGTCTTCAAGATCAAAATCGCCTTCATTGAAACGCTTGAACCATTTCTGTGCAGTTCGTGGTGCCACCGTACCTTCACCTTCAACGTCGCAAATTGCTTTGGCAGCTGCTTTTGCATCAAAATTGTTTCTCCAATAATGACGGAGCAATACGCGAAGCTCAAAATTTGTGATTTCGTAATCAGACATCTGAAAAAATCAATAAATTTTCNCGGAACGTGGCTTGTCTTCAAGATCAAAATCGCCTTCATTGAAACGCTTGAACCATTTCTGTGCAGTTCGTGGTGCCACCGTACCTTCACCTTCAACGTCGCAAATTGCTTTGGCAGCTGCTTTTGCATCAAAATTGTTTCTCCAATAATGACGGAGCAATACGCGAAGCTCAAAATTTGTGATTTCGTAATCAGACATCTGAAAAAATCAATAAACTTTCACAATAAACCCTAAACCAGATCAAAAACACAGAAAAAATATATAAAAAATCATTTTTTAACGTGGCGCACGAACTTTTTCCTCAACCTAATACAATGAAAAACAAAGCAGAATGTTTCAAGTTTGTCCAGTTAATAAATGCTTGTCGTCTAAGTTTCCACATAGTGAAGGATTATTCGAAGAATATTTTCTCTTAGTAATTTTTATGTTTACGAACACAGAAGAGATACGTGATTTTACACAATGGGAAAATTAAGATAAATTAAAACTTTCCTAATTACACATAAAATTGGTCACACTCTTTGAAATGATGGAACAAAAACAGATAATTTGATAACATTTCAAATCCATGTCCGTTTGGCAATGCGTTTGTATCATAGGGTCAACGATTCAAGCATTATCTATATAATCTATATGAGGTATTAGGTGTAGAAATGGAATAAAAAATAAGAAATAGAGTAATTGTGTTTGTGGAATGATCGACAAAATATTAAAAAAGCTAAAAAAAGTTCACTTCGACAAAGATGCATGATTTTGAATGAAAATGTATTGCAGTTTGAGACAAATCGGAAAAGAAGCTAACCAATGAAAACTATTTGTGACGTGCAGCCGTTATTCGCTTTATGCAAATTAGCGTTCACTGGTAATATTTTTCGGAACGAAATTCACTTTTCAAAATTAAATTCGAAGAAATGTATGAGAAAATAAAGCATGAGACAAACGTATCGAAGTCACAACCACTTGAATATACCGTTCTTTATTATCGGTGTGAAGCTAGCACGACGGAGCTGGCACGAAGAAACGATGTTTTACCTAAAAACTTTTTTACTAAGTATGCCCCGTGCATGAAAACTACACCATTCGACTCAGAATTTAATTCTGAGTCAAATGACGTAGTTTTCATGGACCGGATATACTCAGTAAAAAAGTTTTTAGTTAACACATCGCTTCGTCGTGCTAGTTCCTTCGTGCTAGCTTCACACCGATAGTTTTCTCCTATTTTAATATAACTAGAAAGTAAAATTTCAACTGCGTTTGTATTGGTGATATACTTCTGGGGAGTTTTGTCATGTGTAGCCGTAGTTTGAAAAGCTCTTGAGAATATTATACTTGGTATAGTGAAATAATTCGAAAAACGAAATAATATAGAAAATAAATAGTGAGGACGTAAAAGTTATATTGACCAAGAATAAATCGATCATTCTTAGGAGTGAGAACATGGAATGCGGCTGTCAACAAAAAAGTACGTCTTCGCCCTCACATCCACATCCTTATCCTTATCCTCAGAAATCCTCAAACAGAGATTAATCTATCCCCCCAGGTCCCTGTTCGATTTAACGATAATCGATCCTGACTCGATACATGCCCACCTATTACTAGCTTCATTAATAATTAGAAAAGATGTATTTCAAGAGCTCTCAATATAACATTGTTATATGATAAAATGGTACATTTCAGTACACTGGAGTAATATCTGCATGATAAATAGATGTTTGACAAAGATCTTCTTCTAAGTACAGACGTACTTAAGTACGGGTACTGGATACAAATGTACTTGAGTAAAAGTTTTAAATACGGTTTTTAAAGTACAAGTCTTTTTACTTTTACTTGTAGTACTTGTACTCATCCAGTATTTCAATGGCAAATCTGGATTCAGTAACAGCACGAGATTGGACTGGAGCCAGTTTTAGAATTCATGAAACCAGCAGTAAAATTTGAGTTTTCAGTTGTGCGCATTCAATATTGTTATAGAGAGAAAAATGTTCCCAATGACTCTTTTTGTCAAACTTCTAGGGTCTACTGAAATATGAAAGTTTTTGAGTAAACAATGCTTTTTCTTCATCATTTTAATTTGACAAAAAGTGCATCATAATCTATGCAAGAGTTGTTAGCCGACGTCAATCATAATGCTTTTTCACAAACCGAATTGTGTTTTTTAGAAACAGAGAAGAAGCAGAAAAGAGACAGGAAAACATGCTATGCTAAAGTGTGGACTTTTCTAATTAATTAACAGAAAAAACTTCGTTTAACTATTCGTTGTGATACATAATTCTTTGAGATCCTCTAGGAAAAAATGCAAATGCTTTTGTAATAGACAATTGTCTTATATTCTATCATTTATTATTTTTATTTGAATTTCTTGTATTGTTTTATGAAAACTAAATCGATTGTAAAAACAACTTAATTATTTTGTTTAAGTATACAAGAAATAACCAGACGGAAAAACGGAGTAAAGACAAAGCATTATTAATTCATAACTTCTAACACAACAGTCATGTGCTTTTTTTCTTTCATTAGATTAAAAACGTTGCATATCGAGAGAATCGTTTTCCAACTAACAGTTTTATAATAGTGATGTCTCGAAGAGGAATGTATCTTATGCTTTTGTTTCTTCTTATTGAACAATTCGTTGCACAAGATATGCGATCAGCAAAGATGTTTGTATTTCACAGT